GGTAGCTCTTTAAGGATGCGTGGACTTATCCCATCGTATCCAGGTGCCTTTTTCGTGTTGATGTTGGTATCGATTTCATGGGCTACTTCAAGTGGTGTAAAGTGCCGTATGATTTCTCTTGTAGAAATGAGTGGCTGACATTGAATGCTGTCAAGTTCAGAAATTATGTCATTTGGCTGAAATACACGTTCGAGATGATGTCCGTATACTTCAGCTTTATCTTGTTCACTGCGCGCCCAAGTGCCATCTTCCTTTCGGATGGGTGGTATATGAACGCGAGGTCTTTTTATTCGTCTTGTAGCTTTCCACAACGAATAATCAGAATCGGCTGTTGCAGATAAGCCACACAAATACGATTTAAATGTTTCATTTTTTTTTTATTTTATCATGTAGTATTTTGCTGACTCGGTTCCATTTGGTTTTATCGGATGGGTGTCGAGTTCTGTGCCAAATTCGTCTTGCTCGCCGCTTTTGTTGAACAAGCTCTTTCGGGAACTCGCGGTCGTTGCCTTTTTGAGCTTCAGGTGTTGCCGTTTTTGCCGCTTCAACAATGTCATTAGTCAGTTTATGTTCTACCATTTCAATGTCTGTTGACGATTTTAACCGCACAGAAAGAGTGATAGCTTCTTCCAGAGTATTTCTAAACAGGTCCCAGTCTGTGTATTTGTTTGTTAGAAAATGTTTTCGTTTTTTCATAATGACATTTGAGCTTAACGATAATAACACAGGGATGTGGTCGGACGTTAGATCTGTTAGCCCTTCAGCTTCGACATAATTAGAGGAGTTGCCTTTAATAACGAAGAAGTCAAGCAGGTCGGGGATTTTCTTAGAATCGGTTGGCCAGTAGGTTGGCTCTCTAGTAGAAATTATTTCAGCGTTTATAGTGTTAGCTACTTTTAGTAGAGCACGCCCTTTCGGAGTGATCAGTCTTGATCCCCAGTAAGAGTGCTTGGCATTGTAGTCACCACCAGCAATGAATCGGTCTCCTAGCGTTTGGAAAAATGCAGTAAATTTAATTTCATCTGCACCTCCTTGCGGTGGGCAATAAATAGCCGTAACCGTGAGGTTATTATTCCCATCTTTAACACGAACACTTGTAGCTTGTATGTACAGTTCTGAGTATTTTTCAAGCTCGAAATGCTTTATGGTATCTCTTATGATTACAGCTGTACCTCCACGTGCTCTACCACTCGGGTGTTGTATAGAAGTTGTATAGATTTTATAGTTTTTTATTTTTAGAACAGTCCATGATGTGAAGTGTATTTCAGATACAAGAGCAATGTCAATATTTTCAGTGTTTAAGAAGTTTTCAAGTTCTTGTTTACGTTGTACTAACCCGTTGGCGTTCCACGCTATGATCCGCAGTGTACGGTTCATTTCTTTTTCTTTTGCGCGTTGTTCTTAGCTTTGGACTGGTTATTATTTTCTAACCTATCCAATCTAGAAGTAACATTGTTTAGCGTTTTTGTAATGTTAGCCAGAGCAGATAATACCTCTTTTAAGGAAGCATCATTATTTTCCTGCTGTTGCTGTAAAGGTTTTTGTGTCGTCATCTGTTGGGTACTAGAAGAACTAGCCATTTGAGCATAGGTATTATTCGTGGTTACTTTTTTAACTGACTTTTGCTGAATACGCTGTACTGCAGTTGTCTTCTTTGGATACACTCGTTCTTCAGCCTTTTTGTAGGCAGAGCACCCCTTCCAGTTGGCGGTGTGAGCTTCCCCACAATTTGCACATTTGGCTTTTGATTTTTTTGGTTTTGAACAGATTTCTGTTTTATGATCTTCACCACATTTGACACAAACCGGTTTTTTGTGACAAAAGTTGTGGGTATGTAAAAAGGATTGACAATTTTTACACTGTGGCACTTCTTTTTTTTTTCTTGGAGGTTCGACTTTAATTTTGTGGTAGCAAAGACTGTCTACTTCATAGATATCTTTGTTATTTGCTTGCGAATCTAGGTCCACAAAAAACAATGGTATTTTTATATACTTCCATTCGCTGTTTTTTTCATTTGGGTTAAGTTTCTTTTTAATTGGGATATTCGAAACCTCGACTGCAGAATGACCTAGGTCGGCAAGGTCTCTTTTGATCTCGCAGATATCAGTATCTGGATGTAAACCGCGTAATACAACACGAAATTTTTTTTCCGTTTTTAGCTGATATCTGTGATACTCAATTTTGTTTTCGTCTAGAATTTTTAATGTGCGTCTGAATTGATGTTCATCGCCTGTTAGGATTTTTATGTCACCGTTAGCATTTGTTTTTAGCTGTTGCTCGTGACCAGCAGCTTCTTCGCGTGTTAAACAACTAATTAAATGTTGTATATTTTGAACACCACAAGCCGTAATCGGTGGTGGTTTGTATATTTTGGGCACAGTTTTAACAGAAGTGTTTTCTCCCAATTTTACGCATTTTTTTCTGCGGGCTATAACTAGCACCTGAGCTAGAACCCGTTTCTTCATGTAACTCTATATGACTAGAGTTTTTATTAGTATTAGTATTATTTATTTTACTCACTTGGAAGTCGTACAATTGGCTCTGCAATTGTGCGATATTCGCTTGTAGATCTAATACCATTTTTTTTAAATTTTCGTTTTCATTTTGTATTCCATTTAAAATTGCTTGGTCAATAACAATTTGATTTGGCGCCGTGTAAACATTGCCTGGCTGATTAGTAGAATTCATTGCAAAACGACGTACAAGCCGCCGTTTGCGCGTGACCTAGTTAATTTTACCTCCTAAACATTTGTTGAGATTTTTTTTATAAGCTTCTATTGGTCTAATATAAGACCTTCAATTTTAGGAAATTTTTATCACGCATATATACCCCTTAAATAGAGGTTTTTTATGTTATTTTTCACAAAAAATCGATTTCGACCCGTTTTAAAGTTCCAAAAGATTTTATTTGAGTCTCTGATTTTATATTCAAAATTTTAAAATTACAAAACTGGTCGAAATCTAATTTTCGTGAAAAATAATATAAAAAACATCTATTCTTGGGGTAAGCATGAGTGATAACAATTTCAAAAAAAAATAAGTGTCTTATATTAGACCAATAGAAGTTTATAAAAAAAAATTTGGAAACATTTTGAGGAAGTCAGGCCAATGACCGCGTGGTTTGACTCAGAATGCTCCATATAATATATGTATCCTGTATAACAATTAAAAATTATTCACTTATTTGAACTCTAGGTAAGAAACTTAATTAAGTGCAAATACCAATTAAGCACAAATTAATTTCGAAAATATAAATTTATACAAAATCAATGATATGTAAAATATCTGAAGATAGTTTAATTATGTAGGAAGTTTAGTTTGACAAAAAAATAACAAGATTACATACGTCTAAGTAACAATAGGAATTTAGAGTGCTCTACTAACAAAATTAAGTCCTCGTAGTGATTTCCTTTTAAATCAGGTAATGACAATTGTTTACCTTTCTGTCTGAAAACTTAAAAGATAAGCTAATACTCTGTGTCTTACACTAAATTTATCACTCTGTAATAGCACAATACATATTGTATATTATTAACGTGAAAAAAAACACGATTTAGGATATGAAGAGCCTATTATTTGATTTTATTACAAGTACGTGCATCACTAATACTTTATTTGAACAAGGCCCACCTTAATTGTATTTATCATTGTGTTTTTGTCAATCCGATTGTACCCGAAATATTGAGTGTCGTCCGATTAGATAAGTTATATACAGGATCGTTTAGGTTTCACAAAAAGTGGTTTTTCCTTTACAAAACATTTGGTAGAATAGTGTACAAATAAGGTAATATATAGCATTTCTCCCCGATTTAACGCTTTATAATATCTTAACTTAAGAGGGCGTCGCACCGCCAACTTTTAAGGAGTAAAGAATAAGCAATTTTTGACAAAATCTTAATTTAAAGGTTAAACTGTGATGTGTAATTATTAGTTCAACTAGGACTTTATTTTGGTAGCTAATTTATTTTTTGGACTATCACAGCATCCTAGAAAGCGATTTAAAAATGTTTTTTCATCCCTACATGTTGAAGCAGACTGAAAATAACTTGCTTAATTTTAGTTTTAGAGTAAGAGCACCCATTATAAAATTAAAAGCAAACAACATTCCAAAGGGCAAGACGGTGCGTTTTTTTCATTATTCCAAGTATAACGCTCAATACATAGTTTAGAAATAACGACTATTTTAACATTTTTAAATGACTGTAACTTTTCAATAAACTATTTTTTTTTTTAACGCACCGTCTTGCCCTCCAGAATATTGTTGTCTTTTAATTTTATAATGAATGCTTTTACTCTAAAACCAAAATTAAGCGAGTAATTTTCAGTTGGCGTAAACATGTTTTTACCACTGAAAATTACCGGTGCGACGCCCTCTTAATATGTATTGCATATGATCGATTGTACCAAGTACCAACTATAGTCTATACTTAAATAATTTAACGATTAGCTAACAACACATAAATCATAGATTGAACTGTTCTTGCATTTGAAATATTAAGAATTAGCTTCTAAAACGTATTGGGTAATTATTCGTAATTTTTGCCACCTAGATGATTCTTTCAACCGTTTTGCCTAGTTAACTATGTTATACCTATTATAAATTATCATAATTCATAATGTAACATAATATATAATATTTTTTAATATATTAATATCGATTACCGAAAGGGTTATTATAGTTTTTTTATAAAAATATACACTGGCCACTGCGCGCTTTTTAATGAGAAACTGGTCAGACTTAAAAATGGCTTACAGTTGTGTTCCATAAACTAGGTGGTTCTTTTACACATTAAAACCACTTGGAATGATTACAAAAACATTTCATATTTGTTTTAATTATAAGCGCCTCTGTATAGCTATGGCATGATGGATGTTGAAACGTATCATGATAACGAAGTTCATTCGAAGCTAGACAGGATTAGTAGAAAATAATCTGCTCCTTCTGCAACGTTATTATCTGTATGCTGCCTGTGTGCACATATTTAAAGAGGTTTCGTTCTACTTTTTTTATTATTGTGAACAGGTGTTAGCAGTGAACGTACAAACAACAATACCCGCTAAAATGCTTATGAACATTTGGATTATATTTGCGTTGTATGGTGGTGCGGTCGTTTCGTCGGATCATCAGGAATCGAATGAAGAAGACAACCGACAGAGTTATAACCCTGAATACCACACTTGGGCCGTGCTCGTGGCTGGCTCCAAAGGGTGGATACGATATCGTCACCAGGTAAACAATATGAACTATAAAAAAATTGTAAATAATATATGTATATAATTAATAAACATAATAGCCCGATTCGTTGATGTTCGTTTTATCCATTCAATTCACTATTAAAATCATTAATCTACAACGATCAGTGTGCTAGATAATTATTTTAATAATATACCATAAGGCTGTATAGTATAGAATTATTACTTTTGATTTTATACCATTTTTAAATCAAAGCAACTTTTCAAATGACAAATAATAAATAAATGGACTCAGTAGAGCCAATCAGTTAACTTGTAAATGAATCGCTAAATACAGAAAGGGTACATGTCCACTATTTTACAAAAATAACTTTTTTTAATTATTAAATTTAATATCGATAAATACAAACGAGGCACAGTCTATATTTTTCGTCCTAAATTTCAATATAATAAAATATTTGTAACTTATTATGATCAAATAAACTACTGTGAATCATATTAATGTAATTTTAATTTTTGGTAATAAAAAAGCAACTTATTTTTAAGAAAATGTTATATTTTTAGCATAAACGGCACATGTCCAAGACCTTAAAAACCGTTAAATACCTAGAATTTTATAATATTTCTCTAAAAATGTAGAACCATGTACAACCATGTTCGTATATCATAACTTCTACTAGACTATTTAACAACACAAAATTTGCAATTTTTTCAGAATTACTAAGTTTTTTGTCTCTCCTGAAAATTTTTTAAATTTGGACATGTGCCCTTTCTGTATTTAGCGACTCAAATAATATGTTATTATTACGTTACATTTATTTTTGTAATTTATACCTATTTCATATCATTGTAAAATCGAAACACTTTGATAATATTTACCGAGATTTCATCAATCATTTACGGTATAAGCACCACGGTTTTTATTGCACCTTTTTTACTTTTTTTAATTATTTTTTTACTTTTTTTATTACATTTTTTAAATTTTTTTTCAAGATAACCATTTTATTCAAATACTTTTTAAAAAATAATTGGTAAAAAAAATTTGTGCTTTTATTCATCCGTTCAAAAGTTGTATTCATTTGAAAGTGAGGATGACTGATGAGGTGAAGTGCGGTAGGTAACGCGCGCAGATAAAAACAACTCTACGTGGATTAATCTACCACACTCCACCACCCGTCATCAGTCATCCTCACTTTCAAATGAATATAACTTTTAACGAATGAATGAAAATACAAATTTTTTTCACCAATTATTTTTTAAAAATGATTTTGAATAAAATGGCTGTATTGAAAAAAAATAAAAAATGTAAAAAAAGTAAAACAGGTAAGGGCAATAAAAACCGTGGTGTTTATAGCGCAAATGAGTATAACTTATTTAAAAAAAGAATCTCAAAAATATTCACTAGAACAATAGTTATTTAATTTGTCAAATCTTTGTGGGCCACCCTGTATACTCTAAATTACTTTTTTTATCTACTTAATACGTATTTTAGACACTTTTTCTACAAACACATTAGCATTTCTACTTAAACACAGGCTACGAGTATCTTTTACTGAGTTACTATATTGAAACTAAAAGTCATTATAATAATAAATGCATATACCTAATATACTTTCAAAAAATATACATACATATTAAATAATATAAGTTATGATATTAAATTATTGCATAGGCGCAGATACCATATGTGCAGTTTTGGGAGGAATAATTCAATAATTTTATTGATTTATGGATAATAGTTTAGATACTTATTGCCTACACATTGCTTACAAAATATGTATACTGGAAGCAAGAGATCCATAATTTTGATTAAAAATTTTTCAAATATGTGTAATGATGTTATGATGTACCTAATGGTATCATGGCATATTATAAATTATCAAAAACCATTTCTAAAATTTAAAATAATAACACTTTTGAGACATATTTTAATGTTCTACAATTAAATAAAAAATTTAAATTTTTTCCTAGAAATTAATTATTTTACGGCATTGCTTCTCTTTGAAAATCTAAACAAAAATAATCAAACATGTTTTAGTCGAACGTCGGTCATGCTTACAAATTACTAACGTCCAACGGAATACCTAGACACCGAATCATAACGTTCATGTATGACGATATTGCATATAATCCAGAGTAAGTACACAATTTTTCGGTTAAGATAAGATTGGTACGTATTTAAGTTTTAAAAAATTGGTTTATTAAACCAATTACATTTTTTTTATAATATTTTATAGAAACCCTGACCCTGGTGTGATTAAAAACGAGCCCAATGGTACTAACGTCTATGAAGATGTTCCTATTGATTACTCTGGAGAAGTGAGTAGCGCAGATTGTGTTTTAAAACTTGAAATTTTCTCGAATTTGTATCTAAATAAGATAGATGACATCAAATGTTGAACGAAATTAATTTTTAATAATACATTATAGTATTTTATATAAAACTAATATGAACCTATCATCATAAATCGTCAATCTATGAATTTATGTGTTATTTACGGTTTCTGTGGTATTACTTGTAGAACGTTTCCAAAGATGTGTTTTTAGATGTACTTCTAGCACGCAGGGCAAATGTAAAATCTATCGGATCAGGTCGTGTACTAGGCAGGTAAGTATTGATTTAAGAATATTACCTTTATTAATTACGGGTTTTACCCGTAAGAGCATGAAAATATAGGAAAAAACAAACACATGTATAATAGAAAATATATATCAATACCGTAATACATTTATGACATCTGTACACATACCATCAATATTTTATTAACTATTAATATTAATAATAACAACAATTTTGATTTAAAAAATTAGTACAAACTTCATTTAAACTTGTTTTACTTAAAATAATTATTTTTATACAAAATTTGTGTCGAACCAAATTTGAGTCACTTTGTATATTATAAAAGCCCCGAAAAAGCTCGTTAACATATTCCAGAGCGTTAACGAACTTTTGTTGGACCCTGTATATACGTTCATATATTTTTTTATCATATCATTTGCTAATGGAATTTCCTTGTTGAATTATTTGTCATGATACAACGGACTTTACAGACATCATCTTCGTAATACGGTACCTACCAGTATTTTTAACAAAGTATAAACTGATTTAAATTTTAGTTAACAGGAAAATGGATTTAAAAATTATTCTATCGAATAATCGTGCTGATAACCACGGAGTGAGCTCTTCTAGGCTATGACAATATCCAGATAATGTGTGATCTTATAGGCTTTATGTAGTTGAAATATAATTTCCTCTTAATTTATTATTTGTTAGATAAATCAATAAACTTAATAAGAACAATATATACATTTTTAAAGTTAAACATAAAACTTACATTTGAATTTTATTCATTTTGAAAATGGATTAGCTACTGTTATGTATTTATAAATATACGGTATACTATAACAAGATTTGGACACTCACTTACTCTAAAAAGATTACAAGATTTAATCTATTTTTTATTATTTTTTTATGTAACTTATTTACATTATTATTGTTTTTAATGTTTACTCTTATAGTTTTCACGTAAATCATAATAATCTATTGTCAATTAAATGGGAACCTATTGTGTTTTAAATACTTATTAATTCAAGGAACATCTGCTTAAAGTATTTACTCTAAACGATTATGGCATTTCAACATGTAGACTGATTTCTCTTGCATTACCTCACTCCTCTCCTGACTGTATTTGAAAATACTAATAATACAACAAATATCTGTATAAAACTGATATGACTATCGACCATTAATTTTTTTAGCAGATGTATTATCTGATTATTAGAAAATTATTTAAAATAATTAAAAAGTTCCAAAAAAATATACTAAATACATAGGCGGAGATTTCATTAATTTTTTTGGGTGGGGGGGGGGCTAGCATTTTTCTACCTAAAATGACCCGCAAGGGATTTACACTCCTAAATTATTAATATATAATACTATATAACATTACAAATGTATAAATAAAAATCATAATAATTATAATATAATATTTGTATATTCTTTAAGTAAATACATATTATTTTAAGGCAATGTACCTATTCTTAGATCCAAATATATCAATTATTTTTTCCAATCAATATTTAAATCGTTTTCAATGTACAATATGGATGAATTATTAAACCTATCTTGCAACATACTAGTACGTAACCATGTCTTAATTTTGCGCATAGCTGAAAAGCTGCGTTCGCATGTAGCTGAACTAATTGGCAAAGACAAGGCGACTTGAAATAATTTGAATAAGCTGGGAAATACATTTTGGGTTAGAGCCTTTTGAATTTTATCAATATTTATTGTTTTCTGAAAAATGTATAACTTTATTTAGCACTTGAATTAAAATTAAATGATAACATTATCAAAACCATTGTTATAATGTTTTGCCGTTTTGGAACTGAAATAATTTTCATAATTTATTCTTATTAATAATTTTAATTTTTAATCCATTAATTAAGGAATTTATTACTTTGATGAGTGATCAAATAATTGGGGGGGGCTATTGATAATTTTGGGGGTGCTAAGCCCCCCCAAGCACCCTCCAATCTCCGCCTATGACTAAATATAAAAGTTTGAAAATGTTATATTATTATCTTACAAACAAACTTACAAAAAACAATATTTGAAATCTTAATTACAATTAGTATTTTTAAATAAAACAAATGTCTTATAATGGTAAATCTTAGTGAATCACTTTTTATACAAAACAAACTCTGTATTATTCACAGTTAATTATTTTAATACTTAATAAGAACATTTACTCTTTTAGCGATAAATCAAGCAACGTGTTGTTATTCTTTACGGGTCTCGGTACTCATGACCGCTCTGTAGTATTCCCTAATGACGATGAGCTGTTTTCACAAGAAATTATCAAGAACTTCAAAACACTATATGACCTCAATAGATATAAAAATGTAAAATACCCAATTATATAAATAAATGTATACAATTTAAATATATATTGATATACATTTTTGAAATCGACGTTTGTTTAATTTATTATAGCTGTTAGTCTTTTGGGAATCTAGTCACTCTGGAACTTTGTTTGAAGATATTCTACCTCACAACATAAGGGGTAAGTGAGACGTTTATCGTTTTTAGCTGTAGTTGAATTTCGGTTGGTAAAAATAACTTATATATGGGGCATTCTGAGTCAAACCCCGCGACCATCGGCCCGAACTCCTCAAAATTTACGAATAAAATTCAAATTGAAATTATACATTATTTTTTTCAAGATTTTGAAAAAAAAATGTTTTTACTAAAAAAAAATAGAAATAAATCTCGGCCCATTCCAGTTATTAGACCAAAAGATTTTATTTGAGTCTCTGATTTAATGATAACAATTTCAGAATTTTAAAACGGATTGAAATTTATTTTTCGTGAAAAATAACAAAAAAAACCCTATTTTTGGCGTAAATATGACTGTTAAACATTTTCAAAAGGTCTTATATTAGATTAATAAAAGTTTATAAAAATGTTGAGGAGACCGGACCGAAAAAAAAGTTATTTTTATTCGGCTTATTTTCAATTTTTAATTTATTTTTTAAATAAAAAAACTGAAATTATAATATTATTCTTAGATTTTAACCAACATTTTCGTTATTAAAAAAAATAGAATTAAATCTCGGCCCATTCCAGTTATTAGACCAAAAAATTTGATTCAAGTCTGATTTAATGATACAAATGTTGAGAATTTTAAAATTGGTCGATATCGTTGTTTTGTGAAAAATAACACAAAAACCTCTATTTTTAAAATAAATATGAATGAATAAAAATGTCAAAAAAATTAAGATCTTAACATAGACCAATAGAAAGCTTATACAAAAAATGTCATTACATTTTGAGGATGTCGGGCCGATGACCGCGTGGTTTGACTCAGAATGCCCCATATATGTATACAGGTGTTCCACAATGATTCAACAAATTAAATAACTTGTTGTAGTGAATATTTTTAAGATTTTTTTTTAATTAATTAATTTATACTCATTTGCGCTAAAGCATCACGTTTTTTATCACACTCAACTTTTTACTTTTTCAAATAATGATTTTATTTATTTTTTGTTACATATTTTTAATAAAATGGCTAACTTGAATTTTTTTTAAATATGTAGCAAAAAAAAAATAAAATCATTATTTAAAAAAGTAAATAGTTGAGTACAGTAAAAAACTTGTTGCTTTAGCGCGAATGAGTATGAATAAATTAAAAAAAAAAATCTTAAAAATATTCACTAGAACAAAAGTTATTTCATTTGGAATCATTGTGGAACACCCTGTATATGGCAACACTAATTTATATTTACTTTAATTTTTGTGTGACAACACTGACACTTTTCTTTTGTTAACATAAGTTCTTTAATATACCTACATACATTTTTTGCAAAATACATACATAGTTAGATATACATATTTTTTGTTTAAAAATCTAATGCTCATGTTTATCGTTAATTGAACAACATTAAGTATTAATCATTAATGCAATTTATTAAGTAGTCCAACATTTTAGTACAGTATTCAGATTTTTTTATCATTATAAACTCTCTGTCTATGGTATTATTTTATTATTTACTTTTCTTAATTAATATTTTTAAATTAATGTCGCTGCTGAACAGTGATCGGTGATATTAGATAATATGATTATGTGACATTGTTTGTGTTAATAGCTTTGGTCGCCACAGCCGGTGGTCCAGACGAAGACACTTGGGGTGAATTTTGCGATATCGATATCAAACCATGTCTGGCCGGTCTGTTTAGTTACCATTGGATGAGCCTTTACGAACAAGTAAGACAGTACACAGAGCGTGATTTAATGTATTTGGGGCCCGGGTTTTAACCTTTTCTGAGGGCCCCTGAGCAGGTCAATTTGTACCTGTTAAACTCGAAACAAAAATAAAAAAATGACTCATCTGAAATTCAGATCCCTGAAATAACTATGCGATTAGATAGCATTGGGTCTTCAAAAATAACTTCAGAAAGTTTATAAATATTTACATTTTAAATATTTTGTTTGAAATATGTTGAGTATAAAATATATTTTTTATGTTTTTTATATATTCATTCCTAGATGGAAACGAAACAACAAAAGTCCATAAGTATATTCGATCATTTCGATAGCCTCAGAAATACTGTGTCACATACAAAAAAGGAACACCCTCAATTGTACGGCCACTGGAAAGTCGGCAATTTGCCTATCAGTTATTTCTTAGGATCCCGGAAGCCAAATGTTACATCGAGAGCGGAAAAGAAAAGATTGAATATGAAATTCGGACACCAGAGTAACGATATCGACAGCGTTGTGCACCGCCCACTTGATCAGTTAACTGAGGTATAATTAATGACGTCCGTGAATTTTATAAATTTTATTAAATATACGCTACCCATCAGAATCAACACAGCTACTACCTACTTACTACTGTCGCCAAAAGGTCACAATTATGGTTTACCAATAGTTTATTATTATCATGACAATGATAATATTAAAAATATATATATTTATTCTTCATCATACTTCATTCAAATTAGATCGGCTAGCTAAACTCTCTTTCTCCATGAATTTCTATACATAATTTCCCATATCACCTAATAATGTATAATAATAAAATAGTTAAGGTTCTACTTCTTCTCTTACGATAGTTCGTTTTTGTATGCCGTGACCACTTAATCAAGCGTATGATTAGTATTATTTCTCCAAACATCCCGGGTTTCTATAGTTCGCTTGATTTTTGCTACTGACCTGATTCCTGCTAGACGTTTGATTTGTTCAATACATGGAGTAGGAAGAAATACTAAATTCTTTTTGCCTTGTACTTTTCCTTGGATAATTATTTATTTCTCGACCATTTCTTCTTATATATGACAAAAACATTTAGCATTTGACGCTGTATTGAAAGGAATATTCATCTGTTTTCTCAAATGTTCATCTAGTTTTTTTTTCACAGACATTAGATGTACAATCAGCATTAACACGTATTGTTGATTTGGTCATCGGCGGCGACAGCAGTATTAAAAAATATATCAAAAAAGATAGCACGACGGATGCTTTCAATAGTAAATGTTTCAAAGATTTGATATCATCGTTCAACGACAAGTGTATAGGAAAAAACAAAGTTTGTATAATTCATATATTCAGATAAAGTACACAAAATTACAAACACTTTTTTTATAGGATATTATGCTGCATAAAGAAGGAAAAAATATTTTGGCGAATTTATGCGATACTTCCATTTTACTAATCAAACGTATGGAACCTACTCAGGCCGTGGAAATCATTTGTTAATCATTAAACAACTTACTTTTGCGTTTAATCACTTATAAATTACTAATAGTAGGTGTATGAATCTATAATATATTTATAATTTATAAATAGTTAAAAAAAAACGTAGAAAACAATTCAAGGTTGGGTTATATATTTTATGAAATAAACAAGAATGGTTTAAATATAATTGTAGAAGAATTTTTTATCCTATTTTCAACAGTAAATGGTTCAGATTAATAGATTCAACAAGAGAAAATAATGTACTGTGCAGTCACTATAATATTGCATTCAGTCACTTCATTAAATAAATATACATAACTATCTGTATACACAGACAGTTTCAGAAGAAAACCTTATTTACCCAAATACACAATGCACATAAAACTTCGATGCGAAAGCACAGAAGGAATTTTTAATGATATGTTCTTTTTTGTGTCCCCAAACACGATAGCTTTTTCCTCTGGACTGATTTACTCAAGCATTGTGTCAATCAATTCGAAATCGTATGCAATTGGTACTTTGGCGGGTTGAAAGTTGAAAAGGTCATGCTTTATCTAATATGAACTATATAATACCTAACCTAACCTTATGTCCCAAAACCGTGATTCAACATTCAACATCGTCATGCTATAACTTTGTATAGAACATTTATTAGGCATGGCCCATCTACAATATAAAGTGTTTTTTTAAGTCGATATCGAATTTACTAGATTTTCAAAACCAAAAACCTAAATATCGGTTGGTAGAATCATGTGGTAGCGCGGTATAAGAAAAACATGTGTGGACGGCTCTTGCTATTTTAATTTACTTTGTCTGAATACCTATTTAACTATTTGTTTTCTATTTGGTACTGGATTTGTTCTCGCGTGAATCGGTGCAGATTCTTTATCCATTATTTAAAAAAAACCTTTCGATATACGAGTATACCTGCTGGGCAACATTAACAAAACGTGTATAATTTCAGTAACATCCAAACCATACACTTGGGTGTATTCTTTTATTTGAAAAGTTTAATGTCTTGTCGTAAATAAGACCTACATTTTCTCTAATGATAATAGCATATTTAATATACTTAAAATATTCATCAAGAACGAGGAATCATACCTAAAAATAACCTTAAATAATAATCAAAATTAATAACATGTGTTTAAATGCTGAGGTTGCGATGTGCAATTATTAATATTTCATATTTACTCAAACTACTCGTATTGCACACGTAAAAAAACATTCCAAAATTCTATAAAATAAAGTGATAAAAAATAATAAATAACTAATATAGTTATTATATTAGTCACGTATTGTGTTGTTACTTATTATGTTGAGTTGAGCTTATTTTCAAAATCTAAAAACATATTTTGATTTTGGGTTGATTTCAATGAGAATAATGTTATCTGTAAGATTGTAAAGCCTAATGATATGATAAACTGTAGTACCTCGCTATTTAATTACTAGCTGTAGTAATATAGTTAATTGGTAAACTAGGTACTAACTACCTATATTATAAAAAAGAGTACAAAGGTACCGTTTAAAATTATAACAGCGTCTGTCGTTACTCGTGATCAACTTTATAAACACCATAGTTTTTTTACACAACAGTAGTAAAATACCAGAATATCAAACAACTAAATCTTTGATGATCTATTGTTCATAATAATTTCAAGATGAAGAACATCAAATAATGAATCTCGATTACATAGGTAGCAGAAATGCTACCAATGACGAGATGATTAGACAAGCTTCAGAACATCCTAGTTGTCCTAGTAGTTTCAAAGAACTCCAAACAAAAATGAAGTATTTATATTTTATACTTGTAGACAATACCACTAAAACATTAACTTTTAAAGAATTCTCTTCTTTTTAGTAAATATATTCAATTATCTCTTAATGTTTTTACGTTTTAAAATATTCAAATTTATACAATATTTATTATATGTCTGATGTCTTTTTTTTCGTTAAACTAGGTAATTTATCGACGAATTATATTATTTAAATGACAAGCTAAGAGCAATTACCACTAGGTACATCACTTACATTATGAAGCATTTGCATTTTAATTACTTATTCATACTATAAACGACCAATTTCGCAATGATAAATACTTTTAATAGTTAATTATTTCTATCAGTTACCTATTCGTTACCTATAGAAATGACAGATAGAAATGTATTATGTAAATTATTAGGAAAACTTTTACATTCAAATTCTCTGGTATTTATGTAAATTACCCTGCATTTAGTCAAAACTCTATGAATAACATCCTTAATAAAAAAAGTGCTTATCTCTCTCTCTGCAATTGTTGTAAAATATAGTTTATTGACATTTTTAGTTCTTTTAATAATATATCGAATAAACATTTCCAGATCAGATTTGATACCGAATATTTTCTTTATAAAAATGTCTTAACCCCTTGGCTATTCTATATTTTTAACATTACTTTTTCTAGTGAATATTGTCTTGTCTACTGGAAAAGTAGTATTGTACGAGTAAACAGAGAAAATAAATAATGAAAAATGTAATAGAAAAATTGATAAAAATATAAAGGATATTACATAATTAATAAGAAAAAGAAGTAAAAAAAAAAGTAGAAAAAGTAGTATTGTACGAGAAAATAGGAAATTAATGAAAAAAAATTAATAGAAAAAGTGATTAAATGTAAAAGAGATTACTTGATGAATAGGATGAATGAAAGGGGCTTTGCTGTTATAGTTACTACAAAAAATGATAGTCTGTTCTCTTATTGGTCAGGTCAAATTTTATCTCTCTTTTTTCAATATTTTTAGGTGACAGCGCCACGCCAGTAAATATCATATGTGTAGAAGGTGTGTTTACCCAAAAGGACAGATGAAGTACTACACAGATGTGTGTGTAGTGTGTATACGTATTTGCATCGCAATACAGTGATTCACTAATCTAACGCTTGTGTGTTTAATCTATTACGTGATCTCAAGAAATATGAGTATTTTTATAAAAATGAAATATTACAACTCTATAATAGATATTACAGATTACAGTGTTATTTTTCCAATTTTTAAAAGTGAGGATTTTTGGGCTGACTATAAAAACTGACAAATGTAACTGCTAATAATTCCAAAAATTGTTGAAAACCCGTCTTGTTAGTAGCTTTAATAGACAATACTAAAAAAACACGCTTTTCTAAAAATGGTAAAAAAAATTTTAATTAAACAGTAAATAATAATTTTTTTACAAGAACAATTACCAATAAGTTGTACCACAGTTTTTTAAAACGTTTTTGATTTATGGACAAGCTACAAATCTACTAGTTAAAAAGTTACCTTGGTAACCATTATTACCTTTGGTAAAATTGTAAAGCCAATACTTTTAAAGATAAAGCTAATTTTTATTACAGTATTGATTCACAATATTCACAAATAGCAAACTATTTAGAAGCAAATAGATAACTAATACAGATACTATAGATATAGATAAAAAAATTAATTCAAAAAATTTAAATAGAAATCTACAAAACAAAATTAATTTTTTTTTTACCAACACAAGATACATTTCTTTTAATTATGTTTTCTATTAACACATACTTATATGTTTTACTGTTTAGAGCATTTAGTCAATCGAACCAGGATTTAAAACAAAACATAGTTAAACTTCAACTGCTAGATTTCAAAGCCAATGTTTTAACAAAAAAACTAATTATGAGTACTAAACAAATTAAAACAATTAAAGACCTTATAAATGCTTTTAAATTTAAGTATTAAAACCCTATATTCTAGCCCGAATATTATGTTTTTGCCTCGATGTGAAGCTGAACAAAAATTTTATTTACTATGATCAGGCTCTTTGTTTCATTTAATTCGGTTTTCCAGAATCCACTGCAGCTAAATAATTGCATTGTACATTTCGCATGAAGTTCTGCCACTCACAGACTGTGTGTCCGTTGTCACTAAATAATGTCAAACCCTACAAGAGAAATAATTAAAATAACGGGAAATTGTAATAGCTGTTTAGCATTAAATACTGAAATGGACTTACCTTTTTTGTATGCATGTACGTATTATTAGCACATATTAGTGGACCAGACAGCTTAATTAAATTTGTCTCTGGGCGCGCACCCTTCTTAACTCAATTGTATGCATAATGGTTTTTGTATTTACCTAATGTAAAATATACCGGGAATGCTCTTTGTGGACACTCCACGTATTGACGGGTAGTGAAATTCGATTTGGTTGAGTGGTAACAATATTAAAAATAAAAAAAATATACGTTGAATTATGTCTTTTTAACAAAATGTTTTATTTTAAGAGAATGGTTGTTTTGATCAATATGAAATAATTTAATTTATCTATTTGAAACCCCTAATAATCAAATTGCAAAAAAAATTTATTGAAAAATATATAAATGTGCCATACAACGGTTAAAACGTAAAAAAAGAAGCTGAATAGAAAAATGTAAAAAAGTTTTACCACATTTAAAAATTGAGCTTTTAAGCCACACTTTAACTAGAATAAATACAGGGCGTGTAGTTTTGCGTTCAGAAATTATATATGAAGCAATTTTCATAAAGATATATGAAAACATATTATCATGCTTAGCAATTGATTATTTTTAATATGAAGTGGTAAATTGTAAGAATGTATAAAAAACGATAAAAATGAATTGTTAGGAGTTATATAGTATGAGAAAAAAATTGTTTAAAATGATTTTCAAACATGAAAACCATTATTAGAAGTATAATTATCAGAAAAACTGTAAGCAGAAAGTTATTATATTGAAAAATAATGCATAATAAAATGTCTCTTGGACAACTTATTAATTAGTTAAATTTAACTTGGATTAACAATAAACCGTTTTCCAATCATTTTTTTCTAATATTAGTTGATTATGGAGGAGGAGTGGTCGAGTAGGTAAAGCCGTTGTGTGTTATCTGTTCGACCTCGATCACAGACAATCATCTAGTGAAAATGGACCGCCATCCCTCTCTCCGGCGACGACGGACTGACCCATTCCGGACAGCGAATTCGTCAAGAAACACTCATTTCATGATGTCAGTATTGGGCCTTGTACCCTTAGGCTTAGATTAAATACATATAGATAGGCCACTGCAATATTCCAAATGGCAACCGCTATTTCGTTTCTTTATTTTTGGAGAGATAGCGCAGCATACCCTTATTGACAAAATATATTATATTAAATATTAAATAATAATAAATGTTTGTTTTACTACTACGGCAACCGCGATACAGGTAGTAAAATATTAATACTACATTATATCATAGATTAAATGTATTTAATCTATGAATATACTACTACTGAATCAGGGCCGTATTTAGGATATAATAGCCCCTTGGCTAGCCTATGGTGCGGGCCCGGAGCCGTACTTTTTAGGGCCTCTTTTTGCATTCCTTTTCCATCCAGGAGCGGCTCTAAAATAAATTTCTTAAATTAAAAATAATAATTTATTAATTAAAGTATTAATAATTATTAATCAAAAAGGTTAGTAGTAAAAAAGAGAAATGGGTAAAAAAGTATGCAAAAGTCAGTAATTAATGAACAGGATGTAAAGTCAAGTTCTACGGAGCTTCAAATAAGAAGACATTCAGGATGCTCTATGGGTACAATATATGATATTCATTTTTTTTTATTATTTTAAATAGAACTCGTATCTTATTAAAAAATTTTCTTACGAAAAAAATTATTTCAGATTTGAAATCAGGAGAAAAAATCTGGTTGAGTTGATATGTAACATGATTTTTTTATCATGGGCCACTCAATACCTATTTCATAGGGTTTAATAAGAAATTGTTTTTTTTTTAATGTTGTTTTTATACAATGTCATCTCAATTGTTCACAATTATTTTGTTTTTACCCCCTCCCCCTCCCCCTATCAAATATATAAATATTATATTTAATAATTAAAACAATTAAACACTTTCGCATAAACAACAAAAAATTCAGTAAAAATACGAGAATACCAAATAGACTATCAAAATAAATTAACAACATTAAAAAACATAAATAAATAAATAAGAAACCCCAAATAAAACATACTATTCAAAAAGGTTTAAAAACCTATTTAACTGAAGAATATTTGATTCTTTCAAATAATCAATTTTTTATTTACATTATTTTTAAAATTGTATTTACATTTAACATTGGAATAACCAATTTAAAAAAATCAAATGCCTTTTAAAATGTTTAATTTTTCGACTGAACTGACTTTATTATGTTTTGATTTTGTATTAAATACTCTAAAAAGTTTACAATAAATTAATGTCATTATTAGGTATTCTAAGTGTGGCGAGGAATCTTGTAAATTAACAACTAGCGGAAAAAATTCTTTACTAATAATATTAAACAACTTAAAACTTATTTGTTTACTTTACGGGGCTTTTTCTAAAAAAATATGAATTATTTGTTGAGCATTTGTCACAAAATTAATATCAGAATAGGTATGCGTTTGAGCATTTGAAGGGCTGCGGGGAAAAAAGATCAATGTCAGTTTTTTAACATTCTGAGAAAATCATGTTTTTAATTTCAAAACGTAATATATTTTGCCTGTACGCCTAAACTTCCGGCGGTCGTTACTCTCGACTTATCTTTTTTTTTCCCTGGTTGGAGCGCATAAAAGATACAATACATCAATACAAATAATTTGATACCAATATCTCATTTTCAAAAAAAATTGACATTGATCTTTTTTCCCCGCAGCCCTTCATTTAATAGTTAACAAAAGTCAAAACTGTACAAAACCCTAAACACTTAATAATTAAAATATAATTATTAAATTATTATTTATTATATTTATTTACTTTAAGTTCTAAATTACTCCTAAGAGTAACATTGTAACGATTATACAATAAATACCTATAATATATTACTAATTCACATTTTTTTTTGGGCTCTGGGAGGTTTAAACGCGAACGCCCCCCCCCCCCCCGTAAGTACGCCACTGTTCAGTACTAAAAACATTTTGCGGTTCTTATCCAAATATTTCAATAGCATTCAATAACGGTCATACTTCGGAGAACTGTGTAATTTTAGAGCTGGGTCTTCTCTTTTGTTTTTCCCGCAGTTAAAAAATACACACTTATTTCCTCTTATCGTGCTCATTGTTATGATAATTAATTGTTAAAATAATACAAAAAAACAATGAAAACAAATAAAAAGTGAACTAAAAAGTAAAAAATAATTTTATTACAAGAACAATTTACCAATCAATTGTAGCACATTTTATTTAAAATGTCAATTACTTTGAAAACAACCGAATATTAACTACAATTTTAAATAATGTTAAACATCTTTAATTTTTTACTAATAAGAAAAGCGTGGGCCCTATTCAACAAAGTCCAAATTCATTGGGTTAAGTATTATGAAATGTTTGTGTCATACACAAATATTGAACCAAATTAAAATTACAAAAGAACTTACAATATAAAACATTATCTGATAAATTTATGAGGGACTTTGTTGAATAGGGCCCACGCTTTTCTTTTTTGTCAAAAATTAAAGATGTTTAACATTATTTAAAATTGTAGTTAATTTTCGGTTGTTTTCGAAGTTTTTATTTTTTACTTCTAAGTCCAACTAAAGTTACTTAATAATTGGTGAATAGGTTACTACTAAATTTTAGTGAAATGACCCCCACATTTGATTCCACGTAGGGCGACCTGGATGTCCGAATCCTAATATGATTACAGGATATTGTATTGTCATCCGAGATGAGTGTCTGTGCCAAGTTTCAGCCCTTTACGACATAAGAAAGTGGGTTAAATTAATTTTGCAAGATTTGAAAAATACCCGTACAAACGTACGTACGTGTTAGCGAGCTATAGAATAGCATGGTAATTAATGTACGAGTTCAACTCATTGAGGCTAGAGCTAAAATGGAGTTGTCAATTCTGATTATAAAAAAGAATTGAATCTTTGGGTAGGTATTCAGCTTTTTTACATCAAAACATAAATAAACAACATAAAGTGTGTCGGTATAAAAAATCGATGGTAACGATAACTTGTAATCATTTATACCCTCATATCTTTATTACATCTTGTCTTTGCCCACTTCTAAGTATGTCCTTAACTAAAAGATTTGTATTTCCTATTATTATAATTGGTTTTTCACATGTAGACTCAACTACTTATAGTTTTGTCAATGAACAAACAAATGTGTACCTAATACACACACTCGGCTCTGCAATTTATTTAAAGTTCACGAGCTCACATAATTTAGGGGAGTAATTTCCATGATATGCTATTAATATTTTTAATTTATTATTATGACATCTATGTACCACGATTCTGGGCATGATTTTAACTAATGGAACGGGATCTGAGACTGAGACTGGGACCATTGAGTAAGAGGAGGACATAATAACCGTAAAAAGGATCACAAAAACGCTGTTATCTGATAAGAGATAATAGATTAGAGATGAGAAATGGGGGTGGTAATGGGGGAATTGAAATTATTTTACTTAGCCCTGGCAGACTAAATCTCGGGCAACGCCGGGTCCAGGCAGCTTGTTATAAATATAAACAACATACCTAATAAAATGTTATATATGTTTATTAAAATTTCAAATGGTTTTATCAAATTTCTAAATAATTTGTAGGTTTAAAATATAAGCAAGAACAGTTTTTTTTCAATTATTTTTGTAGGATGATTTTCATGATGTATTTATTAAATCAAACGCGATTTTTATTAATATATTATAATATGAAAATGTACATTTATAAATAGCGGTTTTCGGTTGTGTGTACCTATATTTTTTATGGAGGGTATGTTTTTAATTTTGTTTTATAGTTAACTAACATTCTCAATTTTTAGACATAGAAATATAACGAATCACCAGATCTATACAGAAAAACATTTTCCTTTCAGTAACATTTCCGTGAAGTGTCGTCGGTGTGCGGCTTCTTACTCAAGCCTAACGTGCTACTGTAATCAAAATTAGCATATATACTCATGATACCTGTAATTGTATAGATTGTATATACCAAATAAAAAACAAAAACAATATTTTCAGTAACCTTTTTTTTTTTTTAAGAAATTGCTAACCTGGGAGGGAACTGTTCGCACACTACTTCCCCCCAGGCAGCATCGTTTATAAGCATCCACTACAAAAAATTGGAGTTATAAAAATCCCGTTTTCCTCTTCGCGAGGCGGGCTCAAAATTTTACTTAATTCTACTTAGTTCTAGTTGTGATATGTACATTTACATTTATAAACATATGAATCCTCTGTGGTCAGTGGGACAGCACTCGTGGCTCCCCTTTGCCTCTGTCTCTCGCCTCCTCTTTTCTTGAGAGGATTGCATTGACATATTCGGTTATGGTCCTCCATTGGTTCGAGGATCTCAACATATAATCTTCCCCGCTGTCTGGCGCCCAAACTATACCCCGTGACCACCTGAGTTGGCGCCACCGATCATACACAAAACATGTGACTGGGTTGCTGCGGTCCGCCTTCTAGAAATAACACAATTTCGCAAGAAACAAACGAAGTTAACACTAGTTATAAGCAAAATGCGTGGGGTATTATTTTAACTTAAACAAGCAATACACGCTTTTGTGATTTTCCGTAACCTAGGATACATCATTCGAATATCAATAATAATGCTATAACGACACAGCGCGGCGCGGTGCCTATATTGTACAAAGCCAGCAAGCCTAAACTGATTTAGTTGGCGAACACTTCAAATCCCTTATTCAAGTTTATTTTCATTTTTTAAAGTTGCTTACATAATGTCAAAACAAAAACAAGAATTGTCTGCAGAAGAAGAGACTGATGAAGAATTTATTACTAGAATCACTCAACCACGCGTATGGACTACTTTAAATGACACTTTTGCAATTCAATCAATTCCGGAAGATAGATTAGAAGACGTTATAGATTTATTTACAGTACGTACAATATTACAATTTACAAATTAATATATATTGGTTGTAAATAAAACTCACATGTGCATTCATTTCAGTTGGCCAAATCTCTCATGAGTTAAATTATTTTTAAGTCTTTTAAATAATGTTATACATATTATTTATGCTATATAAAACTGACAAGACTGTTTGTCCGTTCTCTTATGACATAGCCCGGTTGACTGATATAATAATAATATTCTATATTACGGAATCAACTCCATTTACAAAAATAGTATAATATATATAATAATAATAAATAGTATAACAATAACAGGTAGTATAATATAATAAATAATGAATAACATATGCTACAATAATTTAAAAATAACATGCATTTATAAGTCTTAACTAATTATCCATTTGACTTTAAATATGACTTGAGTGTATCAGTATTGACAAAATTAAAAAAATCAATATCGGCTGTATTACCTGCTGCCATTAATATGTTTATGAATATGAATACAAATAAGGCTTATCGGGCTTTCTTATATTTCCGTCTCTTTACTATTTAACAACATTAGCTTTTATTTTACGTAATGGAAATTAAGATTAAGGGCCGTATAGGGAATAAGTGGAATTCACAAAACCATTCATTTATATGCACAATTGGTTGAATAGTAAAGACAATTGATTACAATTAAAACATTCCATTTATTGAACTATATTTTTTATTTATGCTATGTACAATATAAATATATGCTGTTTTAAACTTTGCACTTTGAATATTGGCTTTAAGAGTCCTCAAATATAGCCCAAAATGTATTTGTTTATTTTCTGTGCGTTAAAGTGCATCGTATGTTTTCATACGACGCACTTTGAGCATTTAAAATATACAGTAAATGTACTTTTTGTCTTAGCATTATTATGTACACGAAGAACAACTTTGTATCGGTAATGGGTTGACTCACGATCAAGAATCTGTTGACCAGTTTATTGAGCTGGTCAAACATTGGATTTCAGACACGTTGTCTACGATAGTAATAGAGAAAAGTTCTGGAAAAATTGTAGGTGTTGTTGTATGTAGAGTTTGCTTAGTGGAAGATCATTCACTCAACTTCAGTCGTTTGAGGGTAAGACATCATATTATATTTGTAATCGGTTATTTTTTTTATTTTATCTGCTTACACAAGTTGTAAATGTTTAAATTCAAAATTCTAACGCAATTAATAATCTTATACCTATAATTTATTATAGGTATTATAGTATAATTAATTCAAATTTGAATTATTAAAACGTATGTTTAAATATACCTTAGCTATATGATGGTAAAATATGGAATGAAATACACAATTTTAATAATTACTTGAATCAAAAAGTCAATATTTACAATTTATACGGAACTGATGCGTTCTGCCGGATTTATGCATGGTTTGTTTTGCCACCCTACAGACACCGAGGTGAGTTCATAAATATAAAGGCCCTTTAAAATGTATTGTATTAAATAAATTTAATAGAAGTATGTTAAGTTCATAATTACACTTTTAACTTTCCTTCTGAAGACTTATTATAGTTATTGAATAGTTAATTAAAAAGTATAATATCTTTCTACAAATGATCACTTCAAACACTACTATTTTTTAAAGTGATATGTATATTATTTAGAGTATAGAAAAAATATTCAAAATGTTTTATAGTAATATTTTATAAACAACTATCTTATTTAGTAATTCCATAGTGGTCGATTGACTTAAAGTATGATATTATGTTTCGGTGCATTGTTAGAATTTCATTAAGTACACGCCATACACGATTGAACAAAACAAATTATTTATTTTATCTTAAATTAAAATTATCCCACTGCGTATCGAAAGTTTTTAAATGTTCAGTATTATAATTTGTTTTGTGGTTTAAACGTTAGTTATTTGTTATCACATAATTAAAAAAGTGAAATAATACTCAGTTTATTAGCATGTCAAAAAATTTTGTTATGCAAACGTAATGTGCTTTAGAAACTGGCAAGCAGATAATATATTTTATCTAAACCTTTTGAATAGTTCTTTATCTTAAATTAAAAATCGAGGCCAATGTGGTTTTTTGTTGTGTTCGTAACGAAATATGTTTGTAGGATTAGGGACAAAACTGTTGGAATCCGTGATTGCTAAACGAGTACCTGAAATGATGCATTTTGGTTGTAAAGTGGTGTCGGGTATTTTTACTGGTAAAACAAGTCAACGTATAGCCGAATCTTTGGGATTGAAAACATTATATGAAGCTAACCACATGGAATGGGCTACACAAAACAACGTCCAATTAAACTATAATGAATTACTAGCCGAAAACGCATTAGTTAAAGTGATGGCCATGGAAATAATTTAGCATTACATTTAATGTTCGCAGTTCGTAATTAGTATGAAATTAATAATAATAATAATAATTTTGAAGTGTATTATAATAAACGAATTATTATTCTATTTGTTTTCTATAGTGCCACTTTATTTAGTGTACTTTTAGTGTATTTTTGAAATTTATAATTTTTTACTTTGTTTATAGTTGTGATTTTTCTCTTTAACAAGGTAAATTATTGTATAGAAAAAAAATCTAGTTACTAAATAAATAAAAAAAAATGTATCTACCTAATCACATTTATATACCTGTATAAACTGTATGTGTAGATAAAAACATAAAGCACATCGCATAAAAAATCAAACAAAAATATCTGTTTTTAGTTCGTTTTTTTTTTCAAACACTTAAAATATTGTTAACAATTGTTAGACATGGTTTAATAATGTGATAGCAAGTTTTTAATATAAGAATACTGATTACAGTAGGTAACACATGTTGGGATTAAGGGGATTGAAAGCGGTCTGTTTTTTTTACCAAAAAGTTTGACACAATTTCGACTACCTAGAATGATCCGATTTCAATTCTGTAAAAAGATTTGAGTTCATTGACTACTTTACTAAGTTACGTCGGATATGGATTTTGAATTTTTGTTAATGTAATAAAATTGTTTTTGAATATTGAACATTTTTCAAATTAAATGTTTTGAATTACGAGAATTACATTTTTTAAATAAAAATAGTTTCCTACATTTATTAGTAAATTAGAAACCTGAGTAATCAAAGAACTCAAATCTTTACAGAATTGAAATCGGACCAGCCTGAGTAGACATAATTATATCAGGCTTTTAGGTCTAAAATAACATCGAAATGGCGTTTCTTTTTGAACAAACTTTATAAGTTAAAAATAATACTTTGAAACTTATGCAAATTAATCTGTAAATTAATTTACTCGGGCGAAATTTATTATAACCCCATTTTTTTAAATGTTCCATAAATAAAGCTCCTTAACCCTTCCAGACCCTTCCGCTTTGAATTCCCTTAATCTAGTTCAGACCCGCCCGTTGCTCGTGTATGATTTAAACTCGGACATTAGGAAGCCTTTAGACCACCTTGGTTATTCTTCTGCTCATTTTTCAGGCTGAAATAGTTATCTAAAATGGGTTAGGAAGGTGGTAAGGAAGTAAATATGTGTTAGGACGTTAGGTACATTTTCAAAGAGCGTTTTTTTATCTTTGAGCCGCCTGCGTAATTGGCATGAACATTGGTGTAATATGAATCCTAGACAGAAGGTCCCGATAAAATTATATAAGGACAAAAGAACTATTTTTAATAAGGTAGACTAAAAGCCCGACAGCCGACTATAATCTATTCTACAAAAGAAAATTGATATCGTATTATTAAACCGTTACGTTATGTCATTATTTTTAGTTTGTTGATTTTATAAGAGATGATTATTGGTTTTACCATTTAAATATTTTTCAGTGCATCACTATGGTGTATTTACTATTTTGTTTTTTATTATAACATATTATTTTTATTATTTTAAATGAAGGAAAATACATGATAAAAAAAACACTATTCGAGATATTTACTGACCGCTTCCTTTGTGCGGTAGAAATGTTGGCGAATAATAATTCTCTCACGGGTATTTTAAATATTTTATTAATTTAATAAGCAAAGCAGATACAGTTAAACGTGTTGTAATAACGCATACAACCTTAGGCATAAAATAATTTTAAAAACGTTCATCAATTATTATTTTATAATTAATGGTTCACGAGGTACACTCTTATTGATTTACATACTAACAGTAAACAATTAATTTTGAATTTGTTTTACTGTATGAATTGTGTAATGCATTGAAAATACTTTAGGATTTTTTGTCCTACATTCAATATAGATATAATATACCTATAATATGAGTAAAATGTGTGTACATAGCCTAGTGAAAGCACACGCTGTACAGTGTACTCAGTTTAAGTACTGTGATGGTTTTGAACGGTGACTTCGCGTACTACATCACACTGCCGATAAGCGTTCGTTGACGGTTTTGCATACGCCTGTACCACCACCACCACCACTCATACTACAAATACTACTACTACTAATATTACCAGCTAAAACTATAATACTGTCATTGCCATTTAACACTATACCTATATTAATTATTGTTGTCTCATTTAAAACGCCATATTATTATTGTTATTACAGCCGTTAGGAGGTCGAACGTACGACTCGACGTGGCGGTTCGTCACTTAACTTAATAATTATAATTATTTTTTCAATTCTTATTAATATTGTTGTTATTGAGACATATGCGCGATGTTTGAAAGTTTTCTTCTCGTTGTGTTTGTTTTCAACGCTAAAATGGTTAGATCTACACATGATCTTACACAATAAACGGCGGCGTTGGCGTCTATTATCGCCACTGACGTCGCGTTATCCGGATCTCGAAAGTCTGAAAACCCAAATCCGTTGTCTAATACACAATTATATTGATAATTATCTCATTACATTGTTTTGGGAAGATGAGGCACGACAGAATGACGTTTTACGTAAGACTCGTACGTATCAATAAGTCATCTCAGAGTACCTATCGCAATAGTTGTATCATAAAAATAAAAAAATTGTAATTATTTTTGTTTGTCCATCCGAAAACCAAACGGTGGCGTTGGTTTGCAGGTGTTCTGTACGGGGCTAATGGCAATTCACCAGTTTGTGGTCGGATGTTCGCTTCTTTTCTCGGCTATTTTCCTGGTCCAAGTCCGGCAACCCTCGTCCGGTATCAAAGTCGACGACCAACAGGCGTCGTGGATAGGTAAGATCAGTAACGACTAATAAAATCATACATGTGTGTGTTAGAACCCAACTTATGGTTCGGCCCTGACGCACCGTTATCTTTTTGGATATAGCTGCTACAGTGCAAAACACTCAGCTGGTATTGTTTGTGATTACCGCCGTTTAAAAACCTATTATGCTATCATCAATATTTACAAGTAAGCTACTACAGTTATGTCGTGTTTTTTTTATTGTTTTTACGATCTGCCTACGGTATTGTTCATTTGCAAAAACATCCACATATTGTACAACTATTGTAAAATCAACAAACAGTAACGCAAGTCTGTTTTCCATATAGTTTATTATTTAGTCAGGAATTTAATTGTGTTACGCAGTAAATACTCTACTCTATTGAAACGCAAAAATTATTTAGAGTACGTTATACAGTTAATTTACAGGCATAAAACTTGACTTCGAAAAATGCGTTTTGGGTGGCGGATTTAGGGTAAAACCATAGACTATATAATATGTATAGTATGTGGTAAAACCCCTTATAAAAAATTCAAAAGAGGATGACTTTTTGGAGGAAATATCATATCCGTATTTAAAAATATTTCCTAAAAAGTAATCACTATTTAAAAAAAGACCTTATTTCAGCATGGCATATCAAACAAAATAGTTAATAAATAAAAAAATATTGTTTTCCCTCAAAATTTCATCACATTTTCATTTTATAATTCGTGTCCTTGCTCTAAAACTATCATGCATCTAGTAAATGCAGTCTACGTGACCTTTTTGTTAAAATAACTCATGAAAAACATAATTTAGACCTTTTATAGTCTGAAAAAAATAACTTGCAATAATAAATCGTCCATACACATAAATTTCAACAATAATTTTTCAGTTTTAACTCTTTTAAAAAATTGACCTATACCAACTGAATTATTTCGATAAATATGTGGTAAACTTCTCCTTAAAGAAACATAAACTTGTTTTTAACAGATGGTACTATTATACACAGTGACAAAAATATTACTTTACAATATATTGTTCTATAAAATAAAGTAATAATTATAGTTTTATTTAAAATGTATTAAGTAAAAACTTAATTATATTTAAAGATCAATTTATTTTACGTTTTGGTTTTCAAGTTGAAACATTATTTTAAAGGGTATTTGAGAGTTACTTTTAGAAGTCAAATAGCAATCTATATGTTTGATTTACCTACTAAATGTAGATAAAAAATATAATACACTCCGCCCTTTGTACCGTACTAAATTTTACACTTTAATAACTTTAAAAATAATTATTTAAAATGAGTTATCGAGCAGTCAAAATGTTTACTGAATTATTCATAATTTAAAAAGTTAATTAAATATATACCTTCGTTAACATTTAAATTTCAAAAGTTGATAGAGCACTAGAATTTACTAAAGGTTTGAATACTATTGATTGAAATGCATAATACAATATATATGAACTCTAAATATGTACTATGAAAATAACATTTATTAAAAGAAAGAAAAACTACAAATTGATGGTTTTCGAATGAGGAAATGGCGGCTAGTTGAATCTTTTATTAGAGTTTGTATTGCAATAAACCTTTATTTGAAATTGTAACTTCATAAGAACAAGTTTTTAGTAGCGCAAGTTATATATAGATAATGATATTGTATCTGCATCATTATATTGGTACTGGATAAGTAGTGTAAAATATTACAAGGACAATAAATATAAAGTAGAAAGATTTCTACTCACGCCGGAATAATACAAGCCGTAGCCGAAGTAATTCGTCATATTATTATGCAAGTTATTAAGAATTATAAATTTTGCGGAAACGTGGAATGAGAGTGTATGATAGTGAGTACATGATAATTTTATCATTGTTATGAGTATGACGAAGTCTCTAATAACACGCGACTAACATACACACGAAGGTCGAACGCACACCTATAATATGATGTTTATCTAATCTTTAGAGTTGTGAGTTTACTATTGTTCTTATAATTGTTGAAAATACTAAATACACAACACTGTCAACACCGATAATTATTCGAAATAATGAACACTCATTTATTGACACTAGACAGTATTTATATTTAACGCACTGTCACATCACTCATCCACCAAAATGGACCACCACACAGGCACTGTCTCCATATAATCATACAATACTACATAGATACAGGCTTCATCAGTCCCACTTCTTTTTAAACAGTGCTAGTAATATTTTAACGCTAACATTGTATTATGTAGGTACTTATAAATTTCAGAAAAATGTACACATAACAAACGTAAAGGGTACGTAAGAGCAATTAAGAACATTAACTACTATATCAATATAAACAATAATATAATGTGCACACTGTGTGTAGTATATATATATATGAATAGCATATTATGTACACTGTGCATGCAATATCGCAGCAGCAACCAGCCAAAAATAAATTGCTTAAGGCACAGTAAAAAAAAACCAGTCAAAAAATATTAGTATCAGTAAAAAATTATTCTCTATACTAGCAAGGTACCTACGTTTTAATATTTGTTTTAAATAAGGTGGTTTGATTTCTGAAAAAAATGATCCAAAAACAACTCATGTTCTTGATTCTATTATTTAACCGTCAGTAATGATATCATCACAGTTAAAATTCTAATTAAGTATACTTTAAACATATTTTAAAAAATATTTCGTGGTCAAAAAATTTTAAAAATTGTCCTCGAACCTTCAGAGCTCAATAATTTCATATTTCTACCAAACAGTTGTTACACCCTAGAATACAAATTTAAGAATCCCATGAACGATAAAACATTATGCAATGTCAAAACTGCCAATAGTATGGACACTTAAGAGCTTACAGTGCTTATAATCCTCGCTGTGTAGTGTGTACGTTGTGGTCAATATCACGCATCCTCAGAATGTGAAAATCCAAGAGATATTCCGGCTAAATAAGCCTTATGCTAAAACGAGCACCCAGCAAACTACAGAGGTTGTCGTAATTACAAAGTCGAATCAAAATCTTTAATCTGCATTTTAAACACTACAATTACTTTTCTTAGTTTAGATTAATATATTTTTTACTATTTAACTATTAAGGGAGGAGGTAAGGTATTAAAACATTTTTTTTTTATTTTCATTTTTTTAACTGAATGCATAATATTTTAAGAATATTGTGTCCAAATTTCAAGTCGATCGGAACAAAATTGACGACGTTATGAGTTGTCGGAATTTTATAGCTGCCCGGCCCGAGCACACTATCGTTAACTTTAAAGCGTTTTTCCCACAACTCACGTTTTCAAAATCGGTGACCCTCATAACTTCAAAACTACTATACCGATCCTTTTGAAATTTCGAACACTATTTCTGTATATAACTTACGAGGTAACGCTGGAGATTTTTTTTCAAATTTGTTAATATTTTTTATTTTACAATAACAAATTAGCCGATTTTTTTCGAAAAAATCGCGTTTTTCCTTTCAAAGTGTTCCCAAAAAGTGAAAAATTGAAATTTCAAAAAAATCTTCCGGCATTACCTGAGGAAAGCAATTATCTAACGAAAGAATTTGATTTTTTTAATTTCGGATGATCCAGCATGGAGTTATGAGGGACACCGCAATTCTACTTTTTTCCGAGACGCTTCCGAATAATTGCTGCCATTGCTGTATTTTGTAATATTTCTACATGAAAATATTACACAATATTCTTCGAATGTTATACTTTAATGTACCATTAGTTTTAATAAATAGATTTTAACTGTGTCGACAAAAAAATTCACAAAAATTTGCCGTGAAACTTTTGAGACCATTATACCAGAATTTGAATCATGCAATCGTACTAAATTAATTTCGATAATTTGTCTGTAGTTAAAATGTAGTATTGTATACTTACTAATTGAACTTTCATATAATACAATTATGATTTTTCAGCTAGTATACCGTTTCTGGTGTGTCCAATCGGATTGATTGTGATAGGCGTATTGACCGACGGAATAGGCAGAAAAAAGTCTCTACAAGTATCCTACATACCATTGGTATTGGGTTGGTTTATACTGTCGTACGCTCAGAGCTTGAACGCAATAATTATCGGAAGAATTATGCTGGGCTTCTCCTTAGGTGAGTTGTTTTAAAACTAACAATTAATTATTGAAACCTTGTAATCATTTTCGTTTATTTTAAAGTTTTTTCGTATCTCCTTGTTTATTTTCATCGGGGGTTTTTGTTTTTTTAAATAACTAATTTATATTAACAAAATATCTCTAATTTGATAACATCTAGAAAAACAAATGCAAGTAAATATTAGTTCTATGTTCCATAAAAAAAATACGGTCAACTTGTACTACCAGAGTTAACTAAATTGTAATTTAGACCTAAAAATTATTTTGTACATAGGATAGCATCGAAGACACTTTTTTGAAGTTAATTTTTTTTTTAATAAACTGACTATGCTTTTTTAAAATGATTTCTTAAACAACAGCATTTGCGTCCTCAGTACGTCTTCCCAAATATTTGGATAGAAAATATTTTATTAGCATTTTGAAAACTGTGCCTTTTGAAAAAAAAATTGTGTAATAATTTTAACATTCATAAAAAAAACATTAGTAAAGTGGTGTAAGCGAACAATAAAATAACCACGAAACTTAAAAACATAAACTCTTAGAGAAGACATAGTTTTGTCTTGAATCTTGATCTTTGTATTAACGTCATCGTCGTATGATAAATATGCCCGGAGATGATTATAAATTGCTTAACCCTTTTTTTTTTGCATAAAAACCTGACGTAATACAGGGTAACCACGAAAACACTTTATATTTTCAAAAAGGCAAAATAATATTAATTTTTCAAAAAAAAAATGTTTGTAACTTATGTAACATGTTTGTGGGTGTATGCCATTTATTTTACGGCAATTTTCGAAAAGAAAAAAAAATTATTTCATTTGATATTATGTAATATTATGTTTGTGGGTGTAAGCCACAAGTGTATGCCATTTATACATAAACCCCGTACTTTGGATGATTTGAAAGCGGCAATTCGTACAGAGGTGGCATTAATCACGAGGGAGACACTAGAACGAGTGTGGAAGAAATTCTTCGAAAGAATTGAAAATGGCCTCATGGATGACGGACATTACCTTCCTGACCTCATTTTTGCTACTTGAAGTAAACGGCTTACACCCACAAACAGAATATTACATAATATCAAGTAAAATATATTTTTTTTTTTCGAAAATTGCCGTAAAATAATTGGCATACACCCACAAACATGCTACATGAGTAAAAACAATTTTTTTTTAAAAATTAATATTATTTTGCCTTTTTGAAAATGTTAAGTGTTTTCGTGGTCACCCTGTATATCATTTAAATAACATATTTTATTATTTTTTTATAAGTGCAATCAGTTTCAAAGCATTCAATTTAATTCCCTTTAAGTAAACATAGTAGCGCTTAATAAAAAGTCTGTAAATGGCAGATTCACATCCCTTTGACACATACATTTTGCTTTGAGTCTGTCTTTGCAAAGAAAAAAAGTGACCAGTACGTAATATACGGTAGTCGTTGCGAAACAAATTCGCTCCAAGCCCGTTGTGTCAATATCTTCGTTTGATATAGCTTATTAGTTGGGACGGCTCTTTACAAACGTAGGTATACACTACGCTGTTCTTTTTATAGTACTCTAGTATTTAATACACTTTGATTGGACTTTAAAACTTACTACTAGTTGGTGTTCAAACACGTCGCCTACAGTATTGCGTGAATTCATTCGTGTTATACACGGTCAAACCCATATTGCAAAATCATTAAACAAATAATAAGGGGCCTCTAAAACTTTTGCTCTTTGGAGTTACATGCGTTAACTATTGTATAATATTTATATACATTAATAATAAATGTCAGTTAGATGCTTTTATATTTTGACCACAACAAATTGTAAAAATATACGTAATCTAAGCTTGTCACTCCTGGTATACCCCTCGTTAATTACTCGTAAAAGAACCAAGTAAAAATTCACATTTAAAAAACAAATGTATACATGTGAATGAAAAAAGAAATGAAAGAACCTTAGCGGTCGCTGCAACCATCCTTTTCTTAATACATAATATATTTACACATTTTATTATGCATAGGACCCTAGTACTTTTTCCTAATTAAAAAACATTAAAGCGCAGTGTGTTTGGCTTGCTATAATATATATTATTCTAAAACATGTTTAATATAACAAAACAAAATTTAGTTTTTATTAGGTTTAATATTAAAAACCAAACTGTTTTTTTAACAAGATATACCCATAATAATATATATTTATGCAAATGATTAATGGAAAATATTATGTAAGCTGAAGGCCGAAGGTTCTAAGTCTTTTACACAACGCTTGTGTTGTCCCTTTAGGACCTAGAGTCTAGGTGTTGTCTCTAAGTTGTCTAGGTGTCAGACCTACCGTTGATAATTTTAGATGTTTTTGAGGAATGTACGAAGGTAGTACGAAAAGCAGGAAGTTAAAATGATACGGAAAAAAGAGGAGGTACATAGCCCTAAAATAATGTCTTCAAGCCCACTAGAAAACGCTATAATAAGAGTTTAAATGTGACCAATTTTTATGACTAGTTTATTCCTCGGTTTTTAAGTTTCAAAAATCGATGTCTTGCACGGAGGCCTTCGACTGGCCAACAATAAATAGGTGCTGAGAACCTCTATACTAAGAGTGAAAAATAAAATATATACAACACATTTTAAAACAAGTACCTATATTTTTTTTTTTTTTTTATTTTCGCCTAATCTGAATCTGACTTAAGATTTTTTTTAAACAATTAGTTAGTTTTTTGAAATACTACAGAATTTGTAAAAAAAAATACCTCAGTTTTTCACTAAATATTCATAAATATTTTGTTGAATATAATAATTATAATAAATTATAACTTTCGAAATGCATTTGAATTTATCATCTATCATACTGTATAGTGTATATAAACAAATAGTATGACAAAGTATCCTAGATATATTTAATCGCTGCGACTGTCTTTATTGTTAGCCAGAGTTTTTGATAACACTGGAGAACAATAAAAAACATTTTTTCTGTGACATAAAATTTGAGTATGGTTTAGTATACACCTAAAATACAAAAACACGATTTGAGATTGACTTTGGTTCTCGAGATAAACTACAAGTCAAAAATGTCATATTTTTTGCGATCTACCCCATTTAAGTTGTATTATTCTAAGTATACCAAACCAAAGGTTGTCTTTATCGAATATGCTTATTTATCACAGTCTCACTAATCAGATACAGTGGTCTCTTGGTTATCCCGCCATGTCGGATAATTATGTCCAGTAACCCGGTGTAATGACCAAATAGTTAATAAAATCGATAAAGTCAATTGATTAAGTCCGAATGAACCGATTAGATAAATTAAAAATAATAATTTTTATTTTATTTAGCCCTTCTCAAGTCTATTAGTTGGTAGTCTTTATCTTTTAAACTAGAGTCAATTCGATAAATCTGATATTTTTTCGTAATCAGCAGTCTAAAATTATTCTAAATTGACCCCTTTATACGGTACCACAAAATCACTGTTCCCCAGTGTAATACACGGATTCATGTTCTCGGTGTCACTGCCAGTAACCATCTCTAGTTATCGATCTTGTTTTTGTATTTTCCCACAGGTACCGGCTCATGCGTGTACTTATACCTGGCTGAAGTCTGTCCGGCCGCTCACCGTCCACTTTTCTTCGGGTTGATCACCGTTTCCGTGAGTCTGGGCATGTTCACGATGCCAGTTATGGCTCCGGACTACGACTGGCGGACGCTGTCGTTAATGAACGCCGTGCTGAGCGTGACTGGCGTGCTGGCGCTGTTCGCCGTGCCGGAGTCGCCCATGTGGTTATGGTACACGGGCCGCGATCAACAAGCCAAAGCAACCGAGAGATGGTGGGGCATGGTCGACTTGTTGCCTGTGGCCACCTCTAACACAGCACCGAAAATAACGACGCCTGCCACATGGTCCGTGTACTCCAGGCCGTCCGTCTGGAAACCGGCTCTGCACGGCCTGGTCTTCTTCGCTTGTCAACAGGGCACTGGGTTCTACGTGCTCATGTTTAATTCGGTGGATGTACTCCAGAAATTCCGGGTACCATGCGATGGTATTACAATTACGACCTGGATGTCTGCAGCCCGAATAGCTGGCAGCGTGACTTACGCGTTCCTGTATTACGTCAACCGGACAACTCTGACGGTCGTTTCGAGCCTGGGCATGTTCGTAGGCCTGTTCACCATTATAGGTTATCTGGTCATATTCAACGACGTCCAGGATCCTCCATACGGTTGGCTCACGTTACCACCAGCGTTTTTGCTTTACGTTTTCTTCAGCGTCTTGGGTACACTTCCGCTGCCTTGGGCCATGTGTGGTGAACTATTCCCGATGGGCGTAAAAGGTTAGAATTACACAAAATAAGCGAAAAAACTCAATTTTACACCATTATAATCGAGGAGAATTTATTAGGTGAATAAACTATAGACTTATTAGTTATTAGCAATGAACAACATGTATCGGTGCCGGACAGTGTATGACTATGAACCAAACAAAACATAAAAAGAGGGGGAAAGTCAATATAAATTTAGCCCCATTGACAAGATAATACAAGCCCAATTTAGCTTTGTCTCTCTTGCAAATGATCTAGGAAACATGATTTGATTTTTACGAGCATTCCAAGTAAGTGTGGGGTCTATGGCCCACTTACATTCATATTTTTTTTAAATACCAATAATAAAATTATGAATAAAATGTTATAGGTAGATAATGTACGATATAAACAAGATTGATGTTATTTTAATTTTATCTATACCACGACCCAAGATCAAATTTACACTTTCAAAAACTTAACTTTTTTTAGAAAAACCAAACATTTCTAGTGTTATTTTTAAACTTTTAAGTAATTAACTTTTTTAAACTTCAATCATTTAGATGCAACAATTTGAGAAGTTAATTTTTTGGGGTACTAATGAATAATTTGAGACCAAAAATAATAAACTCTAAACAGCGGCAAGAAAAAAAATAAAATATTAGTTATTAATATACTGTAAAAATAATTGATTTTGTTGATAAATGTTTTCTTAGATTTTAATAAAAAATATAAATGACTAATAATTATTTTATAAATTCAAGTTTTTTTTCCTCCAAAATTTAGTTCATTTTTTTTTTTGTCTTCGAATTATTATTTTTCAGCAACCCGAAAACTTATTAAAAATAATAATTTTATAACAACACGTTAGAAAATCCAGGACAGCTGTATAATATAAGATGAACCGTTATAAAACCACTTGCTACAATCGTGAATTACCTAAACTTTTAAATATGTAACCCAAACCACAATATAGTCTATATCTTTGTCAATGGTCAAATGTCAAAAGTATTTTATCTCAACCCTCATAAATAACAATTGTATTTTATAATTTTTACATACATACCAACTAATTTCATAACTTACATAAAAATTCACGAAATTATTTAATTTTGTCATGCAATCAACGTTGACAGCCATTATCCGTCATGTGTTAGCTTCGGTTTGGAGCTGAGAAGGTATTGTTTTTACAATGATGTGTTTTTATTTTTTATTTTTGAGTCTGGACCCACGATATCTCGTAAACCGCTGAACCGATTTCTTCGTGTAGCAACTCTATAGATCAAAAATCATACCCGGAAGGTACTTAAATGGGCCAAAAATTAAAAAAAAAATTCACCCCTTCCACATCAAAATCGAGCAAAACACCCAAAAAATGTACAATTTTTTCAACTTAAAATTACGATGCTCTAAAACTTTTTTAAAAATAGTCGAAAAAGTTCCAAATTTATATGAATTGTTTTTCAAACATAGTTCTATCGATAAATATTAACGAACCAAAAAGATATCATAAATCCTTTTCCCTAGAAGGGATAGAATTTTTTTCTTTATTTCACTTTTTCAAGCAGTTTTAGAGATTTAAATTTGAAAATTAGACCGAAGGTAGATCTAAAATGGATCTATAACATACAATTTTCTCATAAATCTAGTCAAATTTTTTATTAAGGAAAAACACCAAAAATAGGGTAAATTTACACGTTGGCTTTAGTTAGTTTCTAGGATGCTATGTGTGAGTAAATCGACAGTCAACAGGTAATGGAAATATTTTCATTATATTGTTAATTATGATACATGGGTAACCATGACAGTACATTTTTATTGACAGACGATCAACCCTTATCGTATCTACCCTACACACGGCTAAATATTAAATTTTAAGTACATTATTGCTGGTCCCACGATATCTTCTAAACCGCTATAACTGGTATGAACATACTATCCACAGATTCGCATCGAAGCGTTTATTTAATAGTGATTTTATCACTTTCAGACCTGTGACCTCTCCGTCCCCACTATGCCCCAACTCCACTGTACTGGCTTTTTTTTTATAGGATTTGAGTTAAGTTAAAAAAATGTAAAATAAAGTAAGTATTCTTTACACCTTACAAAAAAAAATATGGTTTGAATAAAATATGAACATTTTATTTTTTTACTTTGTAATAACAATTGATTTTATTAACTTACTATTGTTTGTGTGTTCTTAGTATGTATTTAATAGAGTTAAAAAAATTAATTTGGAAAAAGTATTCATTACACCCTTAAAAAAAAGCTTGAATAAAATATGTAAAGCTTACATTTTACTTCGAAGTAACAAATTGTATAATGCTTAAAAATATTCTCGAGTGAGTAGTTACTTGGCATATAATATTGTAGTCCAATTGATTTTAATTATAGATAACGAAGACAAGCGATACCGATAACTTTCGTTAACGAAGTAATAGTATGTACTAATATGTTATTTGGAGATACTAAACGTTTTAAGAAACTCCGATGGGTTTCAAAAATAGTAAAATTAATTTATAATTATGTTGATTACAATAGTTATCCATGCTAGTTGCTACCCAAGCAGGGTTAAGAAGGAAGGGGGCCAGGGCTAACTACAAATGACACCGTAACACTGTGCTTATAAAATCAATTATGACATCGTTAAACACAATTTTTTGCTGTTCAAACTTCCTTAGTTGTCTATGTTTTATTCACGCTCCTTAGACAATAGGAAAGTAAAAAAAATATATACATTATGAAACCTTATGGTTACTACTCATTCGTTACTTACCACTTAATCGATCAAATAATTTCATTATAGATATATTATATTTTATTCGTGTTGTATTGTTTTTAGGAACAATGAATGGATTGGTTTATTCTTGCGGATTTATCGTGATGTTCGTTGCCATACAAATATATCCGGCATTAGTGTTGGATTTTGGAATAATAACTGTTTGGTCGATATTCGCTGTATTTTGTTTGTTGTCTGCCGCCTACGGTGCGTTTTTAATGCCAGAAACCAAAGGAAGATCTCTTGCCGAAATTTTAGAATACTTTGAAGAAAAAGATAACACCGGCAAACGTACATCGGCTATTAAATGATCACATACCTATACATAATTAGTATAATTAAGTAATAATTTGAAACATCACGTACTGAAAGTTACAAATTAACACTGTGCATTGTATTATATAATATGTTTTTTTTAAATTTAAATGCATGTTTTGTACAAATGTTTGTTATTATTTATGTACATAATTTATATATACATAATAATATAATAATACATATATTATATATACATAATATATAATTGCTATTAAAATCGGCTATTAATATGTATGTCCACTTTTAACCGTTACAAATAGCTATAGTAATTTAAACGAAACGTAACGTTATATTACTTTGGTCAAAGATTACAGAATAACTAGGATCCATTGATAAACACATTCGAACAACATTATTGCAATGTTAACACTAAAAACACCGTTCAGAAACAGCAAATATATTTTTTTCTATAATGCTAACTAACTTTAAACAGTTAGTATTAGTAACAGTAACAGTAACCGTTGGTATGATACATTACTAGGTACATACATTATTATAATATACCCACACTCTTATATGAGAAAACCCTTTGAAAAAAAAACTTGTATTACCACTGCTAAAAAAAATAATAATAAATATTAAAATATGGAATTAACGGTCAAGTCCTACACGAGGACCTACGCCCTACAGGTATACAAATGAGCTTTATTTATTTATCGCAAATTCAATCAAACGTCTAGTTTTAAATAAGTATTTATACAGTGTTAAGCTGGTTAAATATTTTGGAATGATTTACAAAAACATGCCAAAAAAAAAACTGATCGTCACTAAGGAAAAGTTAATAACGTTATAAACCTTGTAGTATTAACAAAATACGACAAGCTATTAATTTTCAGGAAATAAAAATTGGTACAAATCTAAAAAAGTTGGAAACATTTCTATATTTTAAAAGCGAATAACAAACAAGTTTTATATGATGTTCTGATTATAAACCAAATTACATGCTAATTTTCACTTTTTTTTAACAGATATATACGTATAAATATTATAATATCAGGTTGGCACATATTATAATTTATACATAAATGTGTAATTGTTGTATTATACATCTATATTTAATACATTATTGACGTGTAAAATAAAATATAATTACAATTGAAAAAAACTATTTTGTAGGGATAACTTTCCCATTGGTCTCACATTTTATATATTCAAATATATTTTATAATTTCAAAACTGGTTATCGACCAGTCAAAATTGTCAGTAAATTATTATTAGTTTAAAAATGTATACATTCCATTTAAGTTTCAAAATTTAATATATAACAAATTAATTTGGATGAGATTAAAAATATGAGGTTTGTAAAAAATTAAGAACACATTGTATAAAAACACTACAGATTAATTAAAATCAAAGTATAGGAAAACATAATTTTCAAAGTACTCATATTTTTCGAGAATTTCAGTATCTAACATCAGATGGATCACCCTGTACATATATTTGTCGCTTAGAAATAATACTATTAATAAATTATTATTCAGTGATTTTTTTTTTAATTAAAAAATGTTGCAACAACTTGTTTTAAAAATGCCTGATAAGCGATGACTGTAAGGTAGAATCACAACCGGTCCGATGCAATTATCTACGTTATTATTATCCCTAAAGACACAAATAATAATGTAATTTCCAGGAAGGTCTATGACAATCCATTAATTTTTAAATTACCTAGCTCGGACAAATAAGTGTTATAGTCCAAACCATAATAATTGCACGATAATTTAGAGGAAAATTCTAAAATGTAGGTTTTATATAGGCAGCTATACATTAAATTTAAACATCACTAAAAGCAAAATTTGCCAGCAGGGAAATCCCGTTTAGGTTCCAGTTTCCACACAGGAAATAGCAAAAAGACATGTAATGTTTTGTATTCCACGAGAGTTGTTAAACATAAAATTGCTGGATATAAAAAATGGAACTCTCTAATACCAATCTAAAAGTCTTATTAATTTTTAATATATTTTATGTACTTTTAATTTATAAAAAATATGTTTTAATTTTTATATTTTTGGCTAGACTATTTTTTTTAAAATAATGGTTCAAAAATTTAATATTTATAGTACTTATGTAATTTGTGTGTACTTGGCTCTTTTCAATTTACTAAAATATGTCTTATTTATTTTTTATTTTGACTCGATAGATTTTATATTAAACTCCCGGGTCAAAAATAAGTAAAATATTGATTTAAATAAAAAAAATTAAAAAATTGTACTGATTTTTATTGAACTTACTGGGGTTTTTAACTAAAGGTATTCATTTATTTAGAACTATTTCACTATTCCATAGTTCAATTTCAAATTTTTAATAAAAAAACTATATATTTTTTATTTTTTATAAATCAATCAAATTTTTACTTGTATCTAAAAAAAATTGCTTACACAAAAAAAAATGTTATCTTAAAATATTCAAGATATTTTTCCTGGAAGCATCGATAATGTTCTATTAGATTCCTGTAGGCTGTAAGATACCCAGAAACTAAATGAAACTCCCTAATTTCTTTATGGGGTATTTCTAGGTAGGTATACCTACATATCAACCTCCTCTGGGATACCTATGCTATTCAAGGATTTCAGTAAAATTTCCAAAAATTCGGCTACTTATTAACTATAAAAGCATAAAAAAATAATTTAGTCTAATTTTATCTAAGATATTGGGTAGGTCACTCTTAGCTAACCAATCACCTTGTAATGTGTAAAATAAAGTTATTAGTTGTTAGTTTGTTAGTTAAGTAACAATTTGTATTTTTTATTTAGTCATACAGGTTACCTATAACTATAATTCATAGTTAAGAGGTAGTTGTTCAATATAATATAGAATTTAGGTAATTTATCCCTTTTTTAAATAAAAAACAAAAATGATGCCCCACCAAAGAATAATCCTTTTATATGGCATTTTGTTATGTTTCAAAACTGGGCATTTTTCCTTAATTTCACTACTGAACTTCAGTATTAATTAAAAATAAATTTAGCAATTTGAGTGTAATATTGGATACCAAATAAAGTTCCGTGATAAGCGGAATTTTACAAATTTGAATTATATTAAAATGTAAAAGATTATTTGATATTTTAATGTTTTTAAACAAAATTATTAGTAGCTATAGACCAAATGCGGTTTTAGCCATAAACATACGAGGCCAACCTACTAATTGACTTAGTATGTTTATAATTCTTCAAAGATTATTCTAAATGACGCACTATTTTTATCATAATAATTTTAAGTCCATAAGCAGCTATAAACGGTTCTATAAAATAAAACAATAGGTTATAATTTACTACAGTCGTGATAGGAGACGCACATACCTAATTATATTATGTGTTATCTCTATAGCTAAAATCAACAGTTTATAAGCAATATCGTGTAATTCTCCAATAATCCAATGGCAAATCGTTTTTGTTCTAATAAAACAATAAATTAAAACACGTCATATTGCGTTGTATAATTTATACAGTAAGTTGTAAGTATGAAGAATATAAACACTCAAGATTAGTGCATCCTATTCATAAACAACTATTAGATGTTTAAATTATTAACTATTATACCAAATTATCATGAGAAAATGTACACCCATCAACATTTATAGCTAGTGGACAAAATATGTTATTGGGACCAATGAGTAAAATGTGAGATGGTCCCCTTAAGCACAATATTCTACTTAGTGAGCTACACAAAACAGCAAATGGCTGGGGTTTAGGAAAATTGTTTTTCGATCATTTCGCTAGGTACAACAGATTATAGGTTATATTATTTTTAATTTTATAATTTTCGTCGCTTTTTCTTACGTTAGTTAGAGTTAATTTAGTTGGCGTAGTAGACATATTGTTAAAACTGTATAACATACAATTATACACACTAATGACAACTATTAACATACTATTACAACTATAACTATTATTACTAAACAACAATACAACAACAAATTACATACTAATGACGTACCATTTTTAATTGATATTTAATATTTTTACTATTACTAATATTACTTACTGTTAAACTTTTACACCTTAAGTACAACAATTGAATACATACATAGTTTAAGTAAATACAAATTAAAAAAAAAAACATCAAACCCAAGCCTACGCAGTGTATTAAAATAATTAGGTATATTTAGTGTGTTTAGTTTACTGAATTTCTAAGATTAATAACTTGCATTAGAGAAAAACATGCCAGTATATTAAATTGGTTTTGAAAAGTTAATACATACATATAAGCCAAAGGTGAGAATATAATTGTAAAACGATAAGCGATGAAAACTATTTGTTTTAATCTGGATTTAGCTGATAAGAGTAGGTTCAAGTGCCGATGTAAACACGTTAAAGTTTATAATTAATTATTGTTTATAGTTTGCAATCACCTTCAAAACAAATCATAATGCTACGTTCCAAAAACTTTACGTTTTTCATGCTAGTGAGTAGACAGTTTAGTAAAAAAATAAAGCAAATTTTTTTTTCATTATTAATTTTATATTGTAAAATATGTAATATTTATTTATAATACGTTATTTTCAGTTGTTTTGCAATGGCGTTATGGGCTTTCATTCGTTCATCGTTATGGGCTCATTCATATATTCAACCATACTCTTAGCACAACTTAACGTTGCTGAATCCGAAATACCGCTGAACACCAATCAAGCATCATGGATAGGTAAGCATTTTTGATTATCTGGAGAATAATAGTAGTATTATTTTTTTTTGTGCGTTAATGCAATATCGAAATTCGACTGATTGTAAATATTTCACTGAATCCTGATTGAATATCGTTAAAATACCTTCACAGCTCTTCGTCATAACTAAAATTTTGTTTAACTTACAACCTATTCTATGTACCCATACTGGAAAACAGAATTATATTTACAAGTTTTATTTGAAATCTATTAATATTAAAAACAATTTTTTTAAATTATGTTTTGCAAGAAATTTTTGTTTAAAAATTAACGTTTAACAAAGTGTTGTTTAAATATTACTAAAACATAAAAAATATTATCATTGTATTTAAATTATGTTAAATATTTCAAATATGTTTATAATTGTGGGTGTGCGTGAAAAAGGGATTAAGTCAACGACTATTAACTTTTCAAGAAACGGAAAATAATTTTTAGAAGAACATGTTAGATTGTACATTAGGATAGGATAGACATTTTTTGAATACGATAATAAAAAATCTTATTTTGATATTTTCTGTCTTAATTTCAATTCATAAAAATAAATAACAAAATAACTGTTCTAAGTTCTAAAACAACAAATCTTAGTGAGTTGAGTTTACTATTTCTCTGTTTTTAAATAAAAGGGTTTAGTCAATTTAATAATAATAATATTTTATTAATTAAATACATTTAATATTTTTAGTAATTTCACATTAATAACAATATTATAAACAATTTGAAAGTGTAACAAAATAAAAACTTATTTAATAGACAACCCTTTTTATCACTAAAATAATGGTTCAAAACGATTTAAGTCAGTATAAAAAATGACAAAACTCTTGCTGCAATATTCAATTGTAAATTCAAAAAGATTTAAGTCAACTATTACAAAATACACTAAAGTGAGAAAAATAGTCACTTAACTCACAAAAACACTTCTTTGTTATCTATTAAATAATATACTTTGACTTTAATTATAAACCACAAATATCTTTTCCTGAATTTTTCGGTGTATCTATAACTAATTTTGTACAAAATGATGACTTAACCCCTGTTTCACGCGCACCCATATTAAATAATTTTGTAAAAAATATTTTTGAAACTTTTTGAAAACTTTACTATGACATTCCGTTTGAATTCGGTATACATTCTAAAAATATTTTTAAAACATATTCTATATAAGAATTAAGCTATACTAACTATTATTGTTTTGTTGGTTTATAATGTTGCAGCCAGCATACCGAACCTCGTGTGTCCAATCGGTTTGTTAATTACCGGCATTTTGACAGACAAAATTGGCCGGAGAAGAGCTATACAGACCACATACATACCGATAATTACCAGTTGGTGGATGTTCGCATTCGCTCGAAGTTACAACGTTATACTGCTGGCTAGAATTATAACAGGCTATGCCACAGGTAATTTACTAAAACAGAAATCCTAGATAAATATTGCGAACTTATCGTTAATGATTATTATTTTTTTCTTAAATCGTACACATTTTACTGCCTTAAAGATATATTTGATGTGGAAAGCAGAAAAAACTTACTGCCGGCAAAGATGATTTCGAGAAATACATCTTTTAAGATCGAAAGTATCAATTTATTACTAAGTATTAATAGTTGTAGCATAAAGTCTTTAGGATTAAGGTTTAGATCAGAAAAAAATCAATTTTGGAAGTACCGACAAGACATGAGCGTAAAATAGGGGGTGAGAGGGTTTAAAGACCCTCCACCGTGAAAATACATAAATGTACTAAGTTTATAATAGGAAGCAGAAAAGATTTTCTTTTTTGTCTTTTTTGCATAAATAATAATAATACAAGTAATAAAATAAATAAGCTTTCATAAAAACTATACATAAAATTAACATTTGCCATAAACATTGAAATAGTAGTGCTGCTGCTGAAACAATAGAATGTTCCATAAAAAAAACTGCAGATAACATAATATACAATTTTCTTAAAAAATCTTTAGTCAAACCTTTTATAAAATCCGGTAAGGAAAAACAAAAAATTCACTCCGGTGTATTAAATTTCCATGTTGTTATGTGTAAATGAATTTATTTATAAGCCTATTAATTATCTATAAAGTATTACCTTTGTTTTAATTTTGTTGTAAATTTGTTCAGTACTCATTTATTTATTTATTGGGTATAATATAGTTGTAGTATTTTAACTCAGTGGTGTCATTTCACTCTTTGCAAAGAAGGGGGCAAAAGTTTTGACCGGATCATATAAGTAAAAAGTAAAAATAACTGCTCGTAAGTTTCTTACCGCGTTTTTATAATCTTATATAATTTGATATTTATTAATTTATCATAGGCATAAATTACACAAAATCGATTCGGTATCGATTAGAAAAGGAGGAACAACCGCAACTTCCTTTTCTAAATAGATCGCAAACCCGATTTGGAGTCCTAAGTTTATAACCTATAGTTATAAATAAGTCGCTAATGGCGATTGTAAGAGCAATAATGATTATTTAATAAAAAAAAAATGTTTAAGCTTAACATGGAAAACTTTACGTTTGGCCAGCGTATTCGTCAGCTTCCGGAATGCGGTAATCGTTACTTATAGACATCCGCTCCCTAGATGTTGCAAGCTAATCCGTGAAAGAGACACCTAAACATCTAATACTCTACGTCTACCTTATCCTACCTTTAAAGTTTGGGCAAGTGCGACGAGAAACACCTAGTCATTCTTAGGACATTTGTCGAAGCTGGAACTATCACAATGGTATTACTACCGTTCCAGACTCTCAGAAAGCTGAGTCATCTACCTAAAATGTCGGTATTCTTGGGCTTTAGTATATTCCTAAGAACCTAAATCTTAGTAGCTACTATTTATTAAAATACATTTTTACCTTACTAGTTATTATATAGTTATAAAATAACAATAATCGATCAAAGGGTAGCCTACCTGCAAAAGTGAATCATAATTATAGTTAAACAGTGGCATAATTTGGTCATGTTTGTGGGGGTGGATAAAATAAATTGCATACATTTTACTCATCACCCCCTCCCTCCACCAATTTTTTTTTTTGTATGTATACCATTGTGATATATATAACGTCAAAGGGGGATACGACACCCAAATCCCCCCCCCCCGTAATTACGCCACTATAGTTAATAATAAGATATTTTAACAACATTATGTTTGTGTTAAACAAAAACTATTTTTGTGCAATTATATAGTTTATTTATATATAAAATCCTTATTTTGGGATTTTTCTGACGCTGTTATTATAATATCTGTGACATTGGAGTTCTTTTAAAATGAACATCGCTATTTATTATTATTTTAAAAATAGTTAATATTATTATTCAAATAGGTGAATTATGTACCTATCGCTTTAAATCACTCAGAGTTCCCTAGCCATATTAACATGTTTTGAAAGAAAAACATAATTGAAAACTGTAATAATTAAATAATTTTAACCAAAAAAATAAATATCATTAAATAGTTCAATATAATCTTTATTTTATTAGATTAATAGTCACGCATGCCTAATGTGACCGTTACAGCAATGTTTTATAGATAATTAATAATATAATAATTTTTTAGGCACTATTGCGATGGTGTTCGTATACACAGCCGAAATGAGTCCAACTTCTTATCGACCATTGTTTTTGTCTTTGATTTTCATGCTCTCGGCGTTGACTGCGCTTTTCGAAACGGCGCTTGCCGTGTTCTACACGTGGAGAACGGTAGCGATGATATACGGTGCGATGAGCGTGGTCGTCGCACTAGCCATGTTCGCAGTGCCGGAACCGCCGCAGTGGCTTCGGTCTATGAACCGTATCGAAGAAGCCGAACGTGCCGAACGATGGTTAGGATTGGAACCAGACACTTCGGCGGACGTTGCTACATCAAAGGAGCAGTCGATCGCCACGCCCAGACTAGATGAAACAACGTGGGCTGTGTATACCAGTTCCTATGTCTGGAAGCCTACGGTCCACATGTTAACGCTGTACTTAAGCCAACAGTTCTCCGGCATTTACGTGTTGACGGCGTATACGTCAGAGGTTCTGAGAGACAGTCACGTGCGACGGGATTTCCAAGTGGGCACAGCTTACTTGTCGGTCGGACGCGTCGTCGGCTCTTTTATTTTTACCCTTCTGTCAAACGTCAAAAGGAAAACATTGGCCGTAGTGTCCGGTCTAGGAATGTTCATCAGTCTAGCCGCCGTTCTGGGTTACATGTGCGTGTACGACGACGTCCTCGACCCGCTGTACTCCGACATCCCGTTAGCTGCATTCTTTGTGTACACCATCTTCTCATACGTGGCTGCAGTCCCGCTGCCCTGGAGTATATCTGGCGAACTGTATCCAATGGCCGTTAAAGGCGAGTAAAGAATTCGTTAACATACCAATCATAAGGTTAAGCTTTCTTTATACTTCTAATCATGAACATATAGGACACAATGCAAATTTTAAGATATTTAATTAACTACCTAGTCATTTTCGTATTATAAATAACTTGACTTTTATATTTTTTGTATGAACTAAATAATTCATTAATTCGCATTTTTTTAAAGCTTAGTTTGTTACACAAATTAAAACATAATTTCGTAAACAAACCAAGTGCTATAATATATTCATACACAATTAAAACACTATTAATACATATTCACATCTAATACTCTAAAAAAATTGAAAATGATTTCAAATTCAACATAATAACGGATTCACTCCATGGATTCTAACGGATGTCACACAAACACCAACTCCAGCCAGCTAGTTTGTACATAGAGTTATTATGCCTACTGTGCCGATAACATAAAAAATAAACCTAACACGATAGTGAATGTATATAAATTAATATAGCAACAAATAATAATACAATAATTACGATCCGAAACTTTATTGATAATTCAAAAATGACAATGGTAATTTGTATTGTTAATGTCGAAAAGCAACTACCCGGAGTTATCTTATGACTTATTGCCATATATGTATAAAATAGCATTGAGCGGTCGTCGCTTTCTAGTATCCCTTCGCAGATTAGCATGAAATTCGAGTTTGATCGGTTTAGATCCCAGCTCACATATTTTCTCAATTGAAAAAACCAATATTCTTCAGTAAATTTTGCCACTGCGCAGTCTAATGAAAAATATCCACCTAAGTTGTGCACTATAAGGGTAATGGTTTTCCTCATTGAACATTGTACAAGAAAAAAATATTTTTCTTTATGTTTTCTAAAAAGCAGACCATCGTTGTCAACTAAATATTTCTCTTGTTTAGTTATACCATAGCTGCCTTGTCAAGTATTTGGACAAGTTTTTTAATATTAGCGTCTTTTTGTTGTACCAGCCGAAACACCTATTGTAATATTAAGACTTAAGAAGGTCTACACATCTAGTCTCATTCTCATTATTTCTTCACTCGAGTCTTTATTTGGCCGAATTTGTGCCCGACTAATAGTATCCCTATGTGCGTGTAGGACCCAGGGCCTTGTCGTGGGTTTGAAACATATAAAACCACCGTGATATTGATGCCTTATTAGTCTTATGTACATTTAATTAAACTAAAGCTTTACAGTCAGTAAATATTCTAAACTACAGCTCCAAAAGTAACGGTTTTAATTCCTTCAAACTCTAAATGATTGCAAATATTTTAAGTTACTTGAGTAATAATATTTTTCTGCTAATGTAGTTTTTTTACAAAACTAAGCAACTAACTAAATGTTAGTTATTTTTATCTTATTCTTAGTCCAGCTAATCCTTTACTTCTAGTATCAGTATGTAGCCCTGTCGTCAGAATCTGCACATTGAATAGTTGTATTACTAGATATTAAGTAAGTAATTGCTTTATCTTATTCTTGTATCCAACAATTAGCTCTGCGGCTATAACTGCATACATCGGTATGAACCTCCGAAGAACCCGGCTAGTCCAAGAAAACGTCGGATTTCATGTGCGTACTTTGATCTGTCATACCACTTTCACACTTAAGTATTTAAAGTTGTCAACTTTAAAATATTTTTTATTCTGCATCTCCTAATTTCAAGCTATATCAACATATATTTCAAGCGACCTATCATTACTCTATTTGTACTCTACAGATCTACTGATTTTGCTTTTTGGAATTATTACTATGTCGTCTACGTATGGGACGGGATGTCCGTCATTCCGATTGATATGCTACTTAATTCAATAGGTTAAATAAAATATAAATATCTAAAATTCAATAGAGCCACTTTAAAGGCGCGTCCACACGATATTATTGATTGATCCAGTATTTGCTTACGAAGTTCTAGCATGTTAAGATTGAAACACAGGTTTTTGTCTATTTAATAATGTTTGATCATGGTTTTGTTTTTTTTTAACAGACAAAAAAACACATAATTGCAAATCAATTTAATTGAATACCTTCTCGACTTCGCATCGAAACTAAAAAACTATTATGAAAATTTAGAGCACAATAATTAAGTATTATCTAATAAATGGTTAATTAATAATATTTTAAGGTTTTAAGTAAACGACACTAGTTTAAAATACGTGACTGTGAGCTAACAATGGAAAACCCAAAAAACAAAATATTATAAAAATGTATCCAAAATTACATTCAAGTGAAGTCCGGTTTACACGATTCTTAGCGCTAATCATTAGTAATTATCAGTTGTAAAGAAAGTGGCTTTTCGATGATTACAAATGATTAGTAAATAGAATGAAGTTCTGTCTATTCACACTCTCAATAATTTCATTAATGCTTAATATTATTTTTACCTGCGTTTACATGTCAAGTATTAGTGCGAGTGACAAGACGTACTAATGATAAGTACTAAGCATTGTGTAAACCAGACAATAGCATAACTCAACATTTAAATTAAATTAGCGTAATTCAATTAAGAGTTGACAACTTTGAATAAAACACTGTAAATTTCTTAAATTGTATTCATTTTATTATTACAACTTATATTAACAGGTAAAATGAACGCGATATCCCAGTCGATTGGTTATGAAATCATGTTTGGAGTCACAAAACTATACCCAATAATGGTCTCGGCTTTAGGATTGAAAACAGTTTGGAGCATATACGCCAGTGTTTGTCTGTTGTATACTTTGTACGGTGCTACATTGATGCCGGAAACCCAAGGCAAATCCCTAGAGGAAATTACAGCTTATTTTGATCCCAAAAAAGAAAAGCAACAAGCCGATATTGTGAACAACAGTGTGGCATAAGTCGAAGGCTACATAGCAAACCCTCGTAAGTTGATTTTTGTCACATTTTACAGGTGAAACGAAAAACTAATATGTATTCTTGCAACAGCAAATTGTATTGGCATGAAAAAAAATTGTTATAAATAAATATTAACATAATATTCAAACATTAAATTTCACGCCAGATCATCATTTTATGCTATTTTATTTACTTTATATTGATATAATATATTTTTATAAAGTAAACTCAGTCATAAGCATATACATATTCTAACAAAAACTTAATGTTATTCCTAACTTATCCTACCTTGTAATTACTCAAATTTTACAATAAATACTATTTTTTGAAATCGGATAAATCGCTTTAGACTATAGTTTTGGAGTAATTATGTACACGAAATTTAGACAACATTTTAATGTTATAATATATGATGTCATTATCTTCCAATTACAGTCATCGTAGTGTAGTGGCAAACTAGATCATTGGGCAAGAAGGCGATCGCAAGATTTAGTACTTTAGATAATTTAACCAATATCGCCTGTTTTTATTTAAATAATGGATCTAATTGTATGATTTCCCAGGCCGATATTGGTTAAATTATCTTATGTAAGTGAGTAAATTAAAATAGGCGCCGTCGAGTGCGCAATGTATATTTTTATAGGTACATCAATTTATCGCAGCAGCAGTGCTATATTCACTATATATTATATATTGCTGTATTGTCAATTGACACAAAAATATACTATATTTCTTACTTTTAACAAGCGCAAAGAAACACAATAGAACGAGAGGCTTATTCCACGGGTGGCCAACATACTATGCAGTTCATTGTTATATATATATATATTATGTACTTAACAAAAATAAATAATAATTAGATGAAATAATTTATAAAGATAATTTATAAAAAGGTTAATTAATCAATTAATTTATAAAAAAAATTATCACAAAGCAAAAGAAAATTAAAGAGGAAAAGAGAGAAACTGCTGTTTTTGGGAAAATATCAATTCGATACTACGGAAACCTAATGGTTTTAGTCTTAATATAAATTTTAAAATCTAAAACACACTGTCAAATTATTGCAACTTTATTGAAACCGAATAGATCACATTTAACATTTTGATAAATTAATATTCTAGAGTACCTTGTGAGAATTCCTGTCAAAATTAAAAAAAATTGCCATTGCCTTATCGCCATCAATATTTTATCAGTTAATCTAGTCAACTGAACAAACATACTGGTCAAATTTTAGGGAAACTTTAAATGCGCATAGTCACTATCGGTAGATGTGGGAATTGCATATACATACACGGATAGAATGCTAAGTTATTCTATTTTCAATAAGGATATACATAAATTCTTCTTTTTATCCCGAGATTTGAAAAAAATGTTTAGGAAACCGTACATTGATCATACATTGATAAATTAAAAATGTGAAATCGGGGGAAATGTACAGACTTGGCTGTACCAGACTTTTTATTTTTTGGTACGTCATTTTTAGCTTCGATATAGGGCTGAAAAGGTATTACAATGATATTATTATTTTGTGTTGTGTCGTATATTAAAGTTTGTATACAATTTCCGCAGTAAATATAGAATATTTTTTTGAAATATAAAAAAATCGGAAGTAATAATAGTTATGCTTGAAAACTTATAATACTAAGACAATTAAAATTTTGAAGAAATCTAAACCTAATACTATGTGTGGTACTAATACAGGCTACTTTAATTCATCAATTCTCCTTTATGTTTAAAATGTATATTACAGCTTAAGAGACTTAGCAACTTGTAGTTTTAAAATTTGAACAAAATTTTAGAATTGGTCTACTAAATTTCTACAATATTTAAATAAACTCTTAATCACAAAAACGTATTTCGGCAGCAATGTTACCATCTTCAGCATAAACAACAGTCTGTTATACACAGTCTGTAGGGTTTATTTAAATATTTTATTATTTCATAATATATAACTATAAGTGTTGCTTAAGTCTTTTCTGTATTTCAATATTGGTTTACAGTACAAATATAAAATCGTTGTATAATAATTTATAAAACAACTAAATAATAGCTTATAACTAAAATATTGTGATTCATTCTTGATAACTGAATGACATAATAATGAGTATTATATGTTACAGAAAATTGAACTATACTTTTGACAATTATTTTTAAAAAGAATACCTAACAGCGCGTTCTCTAGGACGTTGACTACGTTACAGTGTTACTGATGCGGCCTCTTAATTATACAGCTTACGGGAAATTTAATTGGTTAATAATTTTCTTATTTAGCCATGAGTAGTTGATTAGTCAAAATTAAGAAAGTTGCTTATTGTAGTAGGTCAAATGATGTAAGCTAATTGATAGAAGAAATTAAACAACTTGACTCGATATCATTACCATTTACGTTTCAAAGGTTGATATCAAAAAACCTAATTTGGGAGGGGGATAGGAACAAAAGAAAAATTTTGGAAAATTGAGATCACGATATATTAAAACACTATGAACAAAAATGAAATTATTAATTAAACCCAGTGAGATAATGAGTGGTCCACGATAAAAAAAATCGCCTTGTATGACTTATAGTTATAATAGGATATAGGCAATACGCGTCAAGAAGTAGCGATAAGAATAAATATTTAGTCATAACTAGAAGAACAAGACAACTCGGACCTGATAGTAGAGAACTATATCTTACAACAAGTGGAAGATTTCAAAATCTTGGGGTGAACATAAATCAACACAATAGTATGTATAATGAAATTAAATTGAGGATATCTGCTGCTAACAAGGGTAAGGGTTATTATATAATTATATAATAACTATAATTATTATACAATTGACTATAAGTAAAAATACGCTATAATTATTTAATTAAACCCAATTTTTGCATCAGAGCAATTACATTTTTTTTATAAACCAACTTTTCTGGAAACTTACTACACAACGCAAGACCTATGTTAAGGGGAACGGAGAGCGGTCCATTTATTTGTTGTTAAGGACCAAAAAGCCTGATAAAATTTTGAGTTTTTGACTACTTAAGATGGTTTGATTTCAATTTTTCAATTATACACGAGTATTTAGCTACTTCACTAGGTTATGTTAGAAACAGAATTTTTAGATTTTGCTTTTTTTTTAAATTGCGTTTTAGTATTACAATTTATAAAACGCTTGACACGTCGGGGTAGCATGTAGATTTACTTGACTTTTAACTTCTAGAGAATTATTTAAAGTATATATTTTATTATTAAGCAGTTAATTCAATAAAATATAAACATTCGGGGAATGAACTATACCAGAAAAGTTCTGAATTTCTACGCTGCTCATGTACTTTCCAAGGTTATTCTAATAAGACCCTAAATAACAAAATCCGTTCATCGGTTTTAGAGATCTGCGTGTCTAAAGACAAATTTAGCTAAAATAGACAATTACTTTCTTGATTTTTGCAATTGTTAAAAATGTATTTTTTTAAATATATTTTTAACTTTTAAAATGATTTTTTTCTATTTTCTTGACCAACTGTTTCTAATGAGCTCAGAATCAACTTTTTATCGCTTATAGTTTATAAGTTGTAACACACGATTTTGTTCAAATTCAAATCATTATACCACTTAAGAATGGAATCCGATCAATCTGTATATTATTATATGATATTAAAGCTAAAACAAATATTTATCTTCTCACTATAAGTGTGTAGCATTTTGTTTCTTTTTCTATTCACAACAAGCTTTTAAAGTTATCGACATCAAATTTGTTTTCATTTCTATTGTTATACTTACTTGATTTTTAAAAATTAAATAATTGAAAATCTGATTCCAACGCAACCCGTTAAAGAAGCCGAACATTTCTTAACGTTTTACATAACTGAAATCGAACCTGCTGAAGTCGCTCATAAAAAAAATGTGTAATCATTTTTTTGTATCGAGTTATTTAGTTCTTATAATTTTTAGATGATTAAAATTATTCTGTAGAGTAGGTGGTTAGATTAATATCGATGTGGCTAGGTTAATACCTCGTTAACCAGTAATAACGAAAAATTATTAATCATTTTCCGAGCAAACAGTTGGTCAATTAGTGCACGAACCTATGCTTTTCGGGTGCAATGTATTGTTAATGGTTGAATTCGAGCGTCTTGTCTGACAACTTGTTTACCGTGCGAATACTTTACGGATTAAATTAACGTTGCTTTGGTAAAAACATTACCAATGAAGAACGTATGATTTTATTCCGGTGGGAATCGGTAACAAACACAGTTGGGTTTTTTCGATATTATTATTATCATGATGATTACTATAACAATTGATATACATATATTATCCAGTACGTGTTTGACCACCAACAGTGATACACGTGTGCCACCAGTGCGATTTTATCAGCTGCCGATAAGCATTTTAGTAGTTACGCCACTTATCAGGTAATATGGACATTATTAAATAATACCGCAGGATCTGTAATGAGCACTAAGAATCAATTAGGCAAATCGCCTAACACTTCAACACCCACGCAAAAACACAATCCAAATGTCATATCAAAACCAACGGGTAACCGAACCCAAAATAACATCACTTCAAAAATACAGCAAACCCCTACCTCTACCAAATCACCAATAATAAACCGCACATCAATGCCGAGCCAGACGGTCGGAATCAACAAACATTACCCCTCCCCGGCCTCCAGCTCCACAATGTCTACCTTTTTCATCAATTCACCGCACGCAATCGGTATCGCAACCGCTAATGAACCCGATACCGAGATAACCGCCAGCATTACGAACACCGCGCTTACAAGCCACAAAGACGGACAAAATGTCTTTACACATATAAACCCAACACAAACAACACTCATGACAACAAATTGCTCTAACAGAAATTTTGCTTCAATAACTGCAAATTATAATTCGCCCAAAAGAAGCCCTCGTATTCAACTCCATCGACGGGGTTCCACAAAAAGAATATATTCTGGCCGTAGGTCAAATAGTGTCACCAAAAAATATCACCTTCGTGTCCAGAATCTCCAATAACCGCTTCTGTATATTTTTATTGAATAAAAGTACATTAGATGCACAGATGGAAAAAACCAAAAGAATTACAATAAACGATCAAGAAATTCAATTACGCAGATTAATCAATCCAGCCAAGAGAATATTCATCTCCAATGTTTGCCCCTCCATACCCAATCAAGGGATACTTAATGA